AATAGTCGTTCTTGGATGGCAGCTGGCACATAAAAATATGAATATAACACCAATTAGAAGATAGGCAGAAATGAACAGCCAAGGCAAAAAGAGAAAACAGCTTCAGGAATATTACTGAGAACACCAGATGCTTTATTTCCAGACGGACTCGCTAAGTAACACTGTTTGCCACATCTCAGTGCAGCCATTCTAACATCTGGAACTTTATCTGAGAATCTTCTCAGGAACTCGACATACAGATCTTGATATGTCCCTCCATAAGAACTTAAACACTGCTTAGGCTGCGCAAAAATCCTTCCAGTTAAGTTAAGGGCTTTTATTCGCACGTCGACCTGATCAGTCTGCAGACATAGAAACACGACCCTGATGAGTAGCCAAAAAACGAACAGAAATATAAACGCTAACTTAAAACAAAACAGTCAATACCTGCTTAAATATGCAAGTTAGATCATATGTTTATAAATATGTAAGTGTGTAGTAAATACCAGTAGTTCATGGGTCAATTTTGGGATAACTGTTAGCAGCATCTGGGGAGCAGTTACGGAGATCTTAAATATAATTTCATGGTAAGAATATTTGAGATTTATCTGGATGGAATCTTTGTCCATAAAACATGATGTTAAAAAGCTGCAAATTAATGGCTCTAGCCTGTCGGTACAACTTTCAATGAGAGAACTGGCAAGCTTAACAGCAGCAGAAGTTGTATCCTGTAAGCACACGAGAATGAAAACATCACCTAATCATTTTGAAAACCATAATCAATAGAGTTAATCGTTGTACATCCATACCTCTCCCTCCTTCACAAGATTTTCCAGAATAGCAACTACAAAAGACGAATCTGCCTCTTCCTCCAGCATATCAATCATTATAGCTAAAATGTTGTTAAATAAACTTTGTTGGGTTTGCTGCGGGTTAGCCTTTCGCTGCTGGGTTTTAATATTTTTCTTGTTGATTAAACTCTGTTGATGATGCTCTCTGTAAAGAAAAGGGAAAAAAAAACTTGTTAATGCAGTTCAAGTACGAAATCATGACAGAGTAGCCATGAAATGTTGAAATAATTGTTTCATCTCTTACCTTACAAGAGAGAAAAACAAGTTAAACATCTCATGAGCTAAATCTAAGCAGTCGTCGTGCAGCATAAGCAGACAACATTTACATCGAGAGACTGTCTCCAAGATTTTTGCCCTCTTCGAGAAATAAGGGCTTACAGTATCAGATAGCTCAGAAAACTCAGCAAGAAAGAGATTGAAAATATCCTGAAATTGAGATATGACATGTTAGTGCGAGTTGTGTACTTGAACAAGAACCATAAAGAAGAAAAAATGACATAAATATGATAAGTGAAAAGGAGTTAAAGAATTATTATACCCTGAGATACTCGTCCTTAAAAGGTAGCTGAGGTGCTAAAATACGGAAAAGCTCAGAGACACAAACAGTGACCAAAAGACTCACGTCATTATCACGATTTTTAAGAAGGCCATGCTTTATAATGGATTTCTTCAAAGGTCTTAACTCAGCTTCTAGCAGTTTCAGACCTTGTTCCTTGTTTGTGGCTAAAGGCTGGTCGATTTGTGACAGAGTATTAGCAACTTCCTACAAAATTCACCAAAAAAAAAACAAAAAAAAAGTATGCGTCAGGATAATAGCATGATCGAAAGTAACAATCAACGATAATAGTCCCCGCATTATATTCGATCTGATTAGGAAAACAAAAAAAAAAACGCTTAAGCCAGAGTCAGATCAGCAATTAGCTTACAGTTATGCGTAGTTTACCCAGAGAGAAAAAAGAAAAGAAAAAAAGGAACCAAAATCGATTTGAAACGTGCAAAGGGAGAGATGCAGTAAACTCAAAACCCTTGAGTGACAAGCCAAACCGAACGAGAGAGATAAAGGAAATCGTCACAAATTAGGTTTTCTCGCACCACATCCAGTCATAAACCCACTCAAATTCAAGGAATCAAGCTTTTTCGGAGTGATCAAAAAGCTGTAAACAGTGATGATTAAATCGGGTAAACTAAACACAAAACCCAGTACTTATTTTCAAGTTTTTAACTAGTCATTTCACCAGAATCAGCTTAAGGAATAAAACAAAAAAAAAAAGAATACCCGTAGTAACTTGACCAGAGAATCCTTATTGGGACGAGATAATTGAAGCAAACGAGAACCCAGTTCGGAAACTATCTGCGTCGGAGTTTTCTCCATCCCCGGTGAACCGCTGCTCGAAATCAACATGGAAACGAAAAAAAAAAAACCCTAGAAACGCCTCAGTGGAGTGAAGAAGAGAGAGCGAATCTGAAACCCAACGGTGAGTCGCCGGTGAAAACGGAGAGGGAAAGCTTTGGGCGGGACTGACTGACTGACCCTCTTTTTCCTTTTTTTTTTTTTAATTTTGTCCTTTTGCTCATCGGAGACCGCTCAGGAGAGTTTTATTAACTATCTCTACACATGACGGCAACACAAAAAAATTAAGTATCGTTATCATCTATATGGGCCTTTAAGGTCCAATTAAAGTTACCCAAAAGCCTAAATATAATTAAATCAGAAGCTGCTGCACATATACATATAAAATATGATAATCAAATCAGCCGTGAAAACGTCGTCGCTTCATCGGTTTATCAAAAAAACTGGAAAAAATGACGGCACGGGTTTATCAATTGTAAAAGCCAACATTTTCTTTCTACCTAAGCCGAACGTATTGATCCTCTCGAGTGCTTGAGAACATAAATACACTACCAGGTAATGTTGTATTTGGTCATTAGTTGATTTCATAGTTTTATTTTATTATGCAACGTAACGTACGATCATTAGCTGGTGTAGTCAGAGGCAAAGCGACAACAACAGCCATGTGCTTAATACGAATATATATCACTGATGATATATACACTTAAGTAGCAACACCACTTGACTCTGTTACCATTATGATAATTTTCTTCTGTCTCCATTGCGTTTCTGGATTGATAATATATCTTGATGAATCAATGTTCAATAATTGAAACCCAAATAAGGATATGTCAATAATGGTGATTGCTAATACGACAAGAGTTTCTCTAACTAGATGCGTTTTTATTTTATTTTTACTTTTTTAGGTTTCTTCCCCTAACTTTCAAGATTGTTTCCTTCTTCATTGTGGTAGATTGGTTTATGTGTCATGATTCATGAATCAATGAATGAATGATATGAGATAGTGACATGCTCTTTATGAAGAGAGTTACAGAAAACAAATTTTACAAACATTTCAATGGTTGATGTTTTTCTTTTGATTATGGTATTTATAATAACCAACCGACTTAATATCCTCAGCTTTTCTTGTTCAACAATATCTTCATCTACATATATCATTCATGGATAACATCTTAAACTGTTAGGATCCTCATTTAAAGTTAGACGGGAGAAATATATAGATGACATAAACCAATTAATTAATTGCCAATATAGTTAGTCAATATGGTAACATTATATATGTTATTGATTCAAGTAGATTAACGTACGTAAGTATGATACAGATTTCATGTCATGTATTGAGATTTGGTTCGCAATGAGCATATGAGAATTATATTATTATCTTGAAAAGCATGTTTTTTTTTTTGTTTTTTTTTTCATCTAAGTAATTTTACAATATGATACATAAAGTTATATATCATCTAAGTAAATCCATTGGAGTCAATGGCTAGTATGCTTGTCTAATCGTCTATAAAAGAAATGATAGGAAACAATGTTTAGCTTAGGTGACCACTGAAGACTCATACTTGCCTTACATTTTTACCCATGCGTGCAAGCAACTGGCAAGTAAGAAAAAAAAATGTATTAATTGCTTAACACTACGCAAAAGGAGAACCAAAACTTGCTGCCTAATTCATTCAATACTATTGAATATCTTTCGTCTTTTGTTAAAGTTGTTAACTCGATAAATAACTCTCACCTATCTTATTGTTCACATAAAGTGTGACCATGATATGGGTTGACTTTGTCGTGGTTTCACTTTCACCTAAAGGCAGTCGAAAACTCAATATATTGAATGGTCGTGTAGCAACAAAAGATAACCTTCACGAAGTCCAGTCTTTATACATACACGTACGTCTTACACATAACACATGTCCAAATTTGGTTTCGAGTATGCATTTGTTTATACAACGTTTACAAGCATTTTGTTTGTCATGATACTAGGAAATATATGAGATTTGTCAAAGAATTTCTAAGATATATATTCGTTAAATAACGTCGCGACTTTGTGTAAAGGAAAAATTGCTCGCCCAACCTATTACTATAGCTATAAACTTGAGATCCTATTAAAACTAAACTTTAATTTGTTTCAATATTATTATTCTCCATATTTTACTTTCATATAGCAGAAAATTCAAAGGTATGACCAAACTAATTTATATATTTCATAACTCGACTTAAAAACATTTAGTGGTATGTCAACGTCATAGGAAAATGTATGTTCATCCGACGGCACCGATCTCCCCACATCCTCGGATAGTCGGATGTATGTAAACAAAATACCAAAAAAAAAAGTTGTTGCTGCATGAATATCAAAATGTTTTCGATTTATAAACCATGAACATTATGTTTTCGATTAAACTAAGTCTTTAATTTAGTTACATGTATTCATAGTCACACCATTATTAGCATGCTATAAACAAAAATAAAATTGCTAGTATAAAAGTAAAACAGTCATAAGTATATTTATTACCATGGTGCAGTTGCATGTACATTATAAATTTGTTACCAAAACATTGAATTTTGGAAATTGAAATTTGACTCAACCTTCATAAAACATGGAAATCAAACAAATACTAATTTGTGATCTCTTTTTACTCAGCTTTTTTATTTTTATTTTGCCACCATTAGATTTAACTTTTTATTTTCGGATGAATTCAATATGGAAAAAAAATAAAGAATTAAATTGCAAAAAAAATAAAAGAAAAGAGAGATTTCTTTTTGGATTAAAATATTTCTCATTAATAAATAGAAACCTACGGAAGAGCAAAACATTATTTTCATGGCTTAAGAGAGAGACAGAGAGAGAGAGACAGAGAGAGAGAGACACACACAGAGAGAGACGTTTGAGATTGACGAACAGAAGAAGAGAATCCGAAACAAATCACATGGAAGAAGAGCTCACTGCTACCGTTACCTTCTCCACTCTTCACCTTCATTAGGGTTTCTTCTCTCTCTCTCTATTTAGCTGCGCAGCTTTTGATTTCTCTCTCTCTCTCTCCCTCCCTCTTTCTCCCTAATTCACTTCTTAAAACTTGTTACTTTCTTCCTGGGTTTTTCTCACTTTTTCGATCTATTACCGAAAGTTTTTGAATTTGTGAGTGAGAGATAAGATTGAGTGTGAGATGGAGGAAGGAAGTTTGTTCAGATCTCTCTTAGCTATTCTTCAGTGGTGGGGTTTCAATGTTACCGTCATCATCATGAACAAATGGATCTTTCAGGTATCTCTTAACCCTAGATTTTAGGTTTTACTGTATTTTCTATTCCTCACTTTTCATATATTCTATTGATCTGATCTATTGTTTTGGATTTTGTAGTGTTTGATGTTTTGATTTGAGATTTTTTTTTTTTTTTTTTTCAATTTGAAATTTGGTTCCAGCTTCATGGATCGGTGATGATATTTTTTTGTAAACTTTTTGCAGAAACTGGATTTCAAATTTCCACTATCGGTTTCCTGTGTTCACTTCATATGTTCATCGATTGGAGCATACATCGTCATCAAAGTTCTCAAGCTTAAACCTTTGATTGTGGTTGATCCAGAAGATCGATGGAGGAGGATTTTTCCTATGTCTTTCGTCTTCTGTATTAACATTGTGTTGGGTAATGTCAGCCTTCGGTACATCCCTGTTTCGTTTATGCAGACGATTAAATCCTTCACTCCAGCAACTACAGGTTAGGGTTTTGAGATGGAATTTTCAATTTTTGATCTTTCTCCTGTATGTTTTTGGATGTCTAAGAGAATCTGATTGTTTCCTATATATATATATATGTTTGAGCAGTTGTCTTACAGTGGCTGGTATGGAGGAAATACTTCGACTGGCGTATTTGGGCGTCTCTTGTGCCCATTGTTGGAGGAATTCTTCTGACCTCTGTTACTGAACTTAGTTTTAACATGTTTGGATTCTGTGCTGCCCTGTTTGGATGTTTAGCTACTTCCACAAAGACTATTCTAGCCGAATCTCTTCTTCATGGTTACAAATTTGACAGGTCAGTGCGCTTCCTGGAGTCTCCCTGTTGAGATGCTTCCGTCAATATCATTTAGTTTTGGAACTACACTTAATATCATGATTGGTGTTGATTCATGAAACTACACTTAGTTTATAATATTAGTGACGTTTCTTGTTATGTCTTGCTGGATTTGATATGCTTTCCTACTGCAATAGATATTCATCTGGTGGCATCTTAGTCCAAATTGAAAAAGCATTCCCCTTATTGGGGTTTAGCCACAATGTTGATTGATGTACATCTATATCTGTTTTAGAATCAATCATATCACCTTTTGGGATGCAAACCTATGAATATCCATCCCCGTAGACTAAAATTTTGATTTTTTTTGGTTTTTCTGTATTTAGCATAAACACCGTATACTATATGGCGCCTTTTGCCACCATGATTCTCGGGATACCAGCATTATTACTGGAAGGCAGCGGAATTTTGAGTTGGTTTGAAGCACACCCAGCTCCCTGGTCAGCCCTCATCATTATATTCAGTTCTGGTGTTTTAGCCTTCTGCCTCAACTTCTCCATCTTCTACGTTATTCACTCCACAACCGCGGTCACTTTCAACGTAGCTGGAAACCTTAAGGTAACAAAGACAACCTAAACTCAGAACTAAAATTTTCTTTTCAGATTGCTGGATGATCCAAACTAACCAAAGGATAACTACTTTTAATTCAATTTACTGGCGATGCTAAGTTCTTATCAATTACCCTATCTAACCATGGTACAAGAATTTGAAAACTGGCCAACTAAAGTTTCTTTGTATCTATGTCTTTTGAGCATCCTTCATATTCTATTATAGGTCTTATTCCTAGTTGTTGGCATGACTATATCCATAATTTCATATAGTTTATTTTAAACTATTTGACAAGAGAATATAGAATTCTCGAGGCACATTGCTAGGGTCTTTGACATCACCAGCTTACAGTTTGTTTGTTGCCTTGGAAACTGTTAAACTCACTCCCATGCATGTAATATGATTCTCAGGTTGCAGTGGCTGTATTGGTCTCATGGTTGATATTCCGTAACCCTATATCATATATGAATGCTGTTGGATGCGGAATTACACTTGTGGGCTGCACTTTTTATGGATATGTGAGGCATATGCTTTCGCAACAGACACCAGGAACTCCTAGGACTCCTCGTACCCCAAGAAGCAAGATGGAATTACTTCCACTTGTTAATAATGATAAAGTTGAAGGCAAAGTCTGATCTCATCCAATCTACAGCTCAGTTTAGTACTCACTGATTCAGGGTGCTGCAGAAGAAAAGCATTCACACAAGGGGTGTTGAATTTTTACTAAATATGCATTTTACTCAAAAACCTTAATAGAGAAAAGTAACATTTTGTTTTTTTCGTTTTGATTTGGGCTCTTAGAAGAGATAATGATTCGTACTATTTATATCTGTGAAATGTAGAATTTTTAATTTATCAAATACATTTTCAGAAACCTGAAGGAGAGGACTATATTATTTCCTTTTCTTTTTCAAAAATTTCTGTATATATGCACTACTGTCATGATCTACATAGCAAAGGTGAAGATATCTATCTCGGCTAAGTTACAGCTGAGGAAACATGTGTGAAATAAAAACTATTCCTGAAATGTGGAGCTGTTCTAATTTCTGTACAACTGAAATTGCAAAATAATTAATTTCCACTGTATGCGCTGTGTTGGCCCAAGAATGCAATATCTTCTGAGGATAGTTCCATTGACAGATAATGTCGAGCTTCTCTTGACCTGATTGCAGAAAAAATGGAGATTAGGAGAGAAATTAATTATACAAAGAAACTATGGTGAAGGTACTGACCTTCGCCGTCTGCCTTTCTCCATGGCTCCGGATAAGTTGGAAGGGTCTGCTCTTGAGATCTTCCCTATGAATGAAGCATATTCATAGAAAGCTCTTCCTTTCAGTGACCTTAGAGGCACTACTGACTCTAATATGCTGGAAAGCCGCACTATTCGCCTACTGCATTCAGAAAAAAAACAACTCTAGTAATGAGAAAGAGAAGAGTGGAAAGTTTTGAAAGAAAAGTAAGTCAGCAAGAAATTTTCATTGCAACCGATGAACACATTGAAAACTATAGTATATACTACTTATACGTGGGAAGAAAAATAATTATTTACCATTCTTCATGTGTTTCTGGTTTCATACCCAAGCAGCTTCCATTGGTCAATGTGTATTCCTGTCTTGCCTCGTCTACTGCCAATCCTCTTCCGGGTACCATGGTAGCTGATGAAGTAGGGACGGATCCTGCTGTAACAATTTGGTTTGTGAAAAAGCAAAACTCTTGCTGTGACACAGTGGAAGTCATCTGTTCAAGCATCTGACATAAACCAGACGTATCAAGATCTCCAGAAGCGTTCATCATTGGCTCCAAAGCTCCCTAAATAAGTGAATTCCACAAGTTCAAAAATGTCAGCTGACAATTTTGAAAAGAGATCGAGAAAGAGAGGAAGCTTATACTCACTAGGTTCAGGAATCTAGAATGCCTTAAGTCAGATTCTGAAATTAGATTGGCTATCTGATGAGTGAGATCAAGAACTTGTGGAGCTTCTACAGGTTCTGAATCCAAGTATGACTTGTAATCAGCATGACTTGAACAGAGCTTTTTCCATGATTCTTGCACCGTATTTCTAGAGGTATCAAGCTTCGGTTTCTGAGCCATCTTGAATGTCTTACCAAAATCTATACGGCTGCATTCATCTGAAACTTGTTGCATCTTCTGGGAAGTCCCTACACATTCCTTGAAAGAGTAGTCCATCACCGTCGCATCAGAAGATTCTGCAATATTTTCACAAGTATTCTTTAAACAATCAAAAATCTGAAATCTGTCTATGTGTATCTTCTCTTCAGATGGGGGAGTCTGTACAACGTCCTCATTCACGGACACTTCTATTCTTCCATCAAAATGTCCGCAAGATACCGCTTTTGGCGACACTTCAGCTTCACCATCCATTAAAGTTTCTGGAACATATGAAGATTCTGGTACACATGATACATCAACTGACTGGGATACCTCATTAATGCAAGAGACCTTTGATGTCTCATACTGATAACAAGTTGCCTCCAATAATTCTACTCTGGAAGGAACAGCAGGATCAGCTAGTACAATTGTTTCCTTTTGCATATCTGGCCAATAGGAGGACAGCGTATCATCCTCTTGGAAAACCAATCTGTCGTCCTTCTCATGTTGTGAAATGGAAACCCGTATCTCAGTCAGAGGCTCATCTTCTGAATCAGAGGACATCACAACATTAAGCTTCCGCCTTCTGTTTGGCTGAGAGAAAGAGAGTGGTTGGTACGAAGTGTTGCTAAATTCATACGGAATACTCAAGACATCTTCTATCGCATCACAATCTTCAAAACAAGTGTTCTGCCTGAACATGGCTGCTTTCTTAGCTTGTATGTTGTTCTTTCCCATGCCCCGCCTCCATAATCTATTAAGCATTTTTTCGTTTTCAACCTCTTCGACAAATACTTCCACTGTGTTATAACTTTCCTCTTCCATTGATAATACCTTAGCAATCTCACTCTCCACCAACTGAGATAATTGAGAAGGGAAATCCCGTGCAATTATCTTGGGAAGCAGCAAGTGGCCAGCTTCATGATCAAAGAGATCTGGATTACTTGTATTCTTCACCTTTCTGGCTGTGGATGGGAAATTAAACCGTGAAAAAATCAAATGTCAAAATCTTCCAAATAACTAAAAATATTCACAGATAGTCTTGCACCAGCGGACCTCTGGGACTAAAATTAATTTTCGTATGTATAAATGTACGTCCAAAATACCTCTTTTCAGTTTACTCTGAAACAAAAACTGCATTTGCATAATGGCTTTCCGTATATCACCACCACAAAACAGGGTCAATTGCTCTAGGGAACCAGAATTAACTTTAACTTCCTCTGCTTCACAAAGCTGTGAAACAATAAATGTTAAGAAAAAATCCAATAAAATCTAAAAGTTGCGCACCAGAATACTAACCAGAGAAAGGTGGCTAAACAATTCTTCTTTTGATGGCAATGAAAAGCAAATTTCTATCCTCTCTAAGTTGTCTGGTAACCCATGATTCTTATCTGTAAATATGCATGTAATCACCAGATTAATTAAGATGAATTGCGAATGAAACAAAAATAATGTTTTAACATGGACGAATACTACCATTCGCAGTCAATACCACAGGCCCTTTTGCTTTCTTAGCAATCTGCTGAATAGCAGAAAAGAAACCACGATCTTCAGCAAAACAAATATCTACATCTTCAAAAAGAATTAAAGGCTTCAAGTTAGCTCCATCATTCTGGATTTGTAATACGGGTACCACTTCAGTTACATCCTCTACCCCATTGCCATCAGTACAGGCATTGAAAAGAGGGTCCAATGACCTGAAATAACAGATTATATGACAAACACTATTTTCAGTTTACGAGGAACCAATTGAAATGCAGAACTTAGCAGATACAAGCATTACTGTTGCAATTCAATGTACCTTGACAGGCTATATGACTTAAGAGCCTCTCCAAATTTCTGCCTAACTACTGTTCCACTTCGGCATTCTGATGTATTCGACTGTAGACAAAAGTCATTAGAGACATCAAACAATTGCGACAGTAAATATTTCCATGCCAGAAGAGGAAAAAAGGTTCTTGAGATCCATATATCGGAAACAATTCATACCTCTAGGATTTTAAATCCTTGTTCCTTGGCGCATGCATGGATAGCTGCAGATTTCCCACTCTGCAACACAAGCACAATTGTACTCACAAACATGAGTAACATATATGAAACTCAGAAAGTAATGTAGACATCAAAACTGACAGTTCGTGGAATATTTTATCACACACCCCAGCTGGACCAACGATTAAGAGAACATTTTTCAGGCAGTCTTCAGCACCAATGTTTTCTGAGTCACAGTCACTTTCAGAACAGTTGTAATCAGCATCTTGCGATTTATCTTCATCACTACTCAAAAAATCTTTGCTTGGCTGAAACCCTCTCTCATGCCATTGGCGCAGCCATTCATTCATTACTTTTACAGATTCAGTATTACCACATACCTGCAAGATATTTGGGTAAGAAAATCTGAGAAATTTGTGATTGCTACTTTTCTTTAAATACAAATTATATTTATCCCAGAAGATATAAACAGGCATATCCACTATGAAAGCAGTACGATCAAATTGTCTAACCTCCGAGGCACTTCTTGGCTGGTACTTATCTACCCATAAGCTATTACGAGGCTGGCCACTGGAGTCATTACTGCATAGATTAGAAATTATAAATCAAGAATTCTAGAAAGGATAAAATATAAGCCCAACAGAATTTCCAACCCTATGTGGTTATTTTCCACTACTTTTGAAGAAATCAATCATCAATCCAACCTAAAAAATGTGTGTACTGACATCAAATAAAAAATCACTACCTTTCTCGACATGACAGGCTTTGCATTTCATGAGAAATGTTTGCTGCCCCGCCAACATGATCAAACAAGTCAATTGCTTCATGAACTTCACAATCCTACAAAGAATGATAGGAAATGACCCTTTGTCATGAATGGTTCCAACAAACCAAAAACATAGAACAAAAGGAAAGTTTTAGCTCGTCACCGATTCTGCTCCATCTACGGAGCCAAGGTACCAATGTTTCTCCTCCTGGTCTGCTATTAAGACTACTGGAGATGCCTCTGCGATAACTTCTGATTGACAAGCACATTGTTCAGGCTCCTCATCATCAATGAGGCACACGTCAGGATGTGAAAGAGTTGGTAGTTCATTTAAATCAAACTCCTTAAGTTGGGGTTCAGAGTTGAATTTTATCTGTTGATAAGGACTCCAAGTGATAGATGAATTCTCATAGAAAGTCCAGTTCTTCCAATCAATGGTTCGATAATCATCCTAAGAAGAAGGTTTTGTCATTCAGATTGCTTTAATACTAAAAATGATTGAATAAGTTACCCTATATGCATTTGTCATACCTGAAACCTCTCAAATACATGTATAGGGCCGATGGTGACGATTTTATCTCTTCCTTGACCCTGACATGTACCATTCTCTCCCGCAGGGGTTTCTTGATTTCTTTTACCTCCTTTCCAAGAGGAGAAAAACGGATGCATCTGCTTGCCAGCAGACATCCTTAAATTTTCCTGATCATATACAAACGAACATGCCAGACTTCAGACCAAATTTACTGATTAAATTCCGAAGATCACACAAACTAGGACAAGAAGGAGACACTTACCTCAGCTCTTAACTTTGCTTCGAGACGCAAATTGGGAACTGGAGGTGAAACATTGGCAGCAATCATCTGATCCGCAGCAGCTAAAACACCATTTTTAGTAGCACTTTTCTTAGGCGTTGTCTTACGAGGACTCTTTCCTTTTGCCACCTGTATCCAAAAAAGAGACCATAATTACAAAATCTTCTCGAAAGTAATCCACATTGAAGACTAAAGTTACCTAAACTGAACTAGCTGTACAATCATAGCAAGCTAAACACCACAATTTTATAGATACAAAGAAAAAAACAAACCTTTTTGGAAGCCCCGTTCTTTGGAGTCCTCTCTTTCTGTTTTCTCGTCTTCTTCCCCTGACTAGTACAAAACCCACCATCTTCTCCTCCTTCACACTCCTCTTTATTACCGACATCGCACATCCGATCTCCATGAGAGTCAATGAACTCAGCAGATTTAGGCGAGACCAACGTCGACTGAACCAATTTCCGACGAACGTTCCTCCGTGGAGTCTGATCCATTGCAATTACCGTCGCAATCGCTCAATTAAGGAGGTTTTTTTAAGAAAAAGAAAAAAAAAAAAAAAAGGAGAAATCAGAGTTACGGTAGAATCTAGGGTTTATGTGTGAATTTGGGGATCTTGGTGTAAAGATTAAAATTATTATAACGATAAGGTTAAAGACGACAAATGTCCGATGCTTTAGATGAAAGGATTGATTTTTATAGTTGGGTGAGGATTTGGAGGGAACAATATTCTTTTTTTTTTGCTATTTCCCGCTAAACTTGAAGGCCTTGTTTGGCTCTCTCCTATTAGGACTAGGAGTTAGGTACGAGACTTGAACCGCTTCTTTTTTTTTCCTTCAACATTGATATAAATTCTTTCCTTTTTAGCTCGGGGGAAAAAAAAAGGGAAAGTGGGCTTTCAAGTGGGCCTCAATTCAGACTCTGATTTACTGGATTACCCTTAACCGATTCTGTTGGAACATAAATTGATAACATTTATACTTTTCTTGAATTTTGAATTTTACAAAATTTCCAAAATCTTAAGAAAATTGGTAATTCTCCTTAAACCGGTGAATCAATCCACGATTGATCAAAATAAATAGGGGTAAATCCGTCATTTACCAATATGTTATCTCCTACCGTTGTCTTTTGTCTGCAAACTGACTCTCACACACACAGAGCTGTTGACTGTTTCAAAAAAAAGATTTTTAACTTTTCCCCACTCTCTCTCTCTACTTCGAAGCGGAAGAAAGAAGATAGATTCTCTCAGATTTTTCAAATCCAAAAAAAAAAGTCACCTGAAATCTTTGTTTCTAAGCTTCTTCTGTTGATAATACTCTCTTTTTGATACTGGCATTTTCCAGGAACTGTGTGAAACCCTACAAAATTTGAAACTTTTGTAAAACCCTAGCCCAAGTTCCTGTTGATTTTTTTCTGATTGAGTAAGAGGAACACAAAACCCCCCAGAAGGCGATATGAAGAACCCAAAAAAAACCTTGATTCTGTTTCTAATTTTAGCTTCGAGCTTAGCATCAATGGCGACTGCAAAATCCACAATAGAGCCCTGCTCCAGTAAAGACACTTGTAACTCATTGCTAGGCTACACGCTCTACACCGACCTCAAAGTCACAGAAGTCGCTTCTCTCTTCCAAGTAGACCCAGTCTCAATGCTCCTATCTAACTCTATAGATATCTCTTACCCAGACGTCGAGAACCAAGTCCTTCCTGCCCAGCTCTTCCTCAAAATCCCAATCACTTGCTCCTGTGTCGACGGAATCAGAAAATCCCTCTCCACTCATTACAAGACTCGTACTTCCGACACACTTGGGTCCATCGCTGACTCTGTTTACGGTGGTCTGGTCTCACCCGAGCAAATTCAAGTGGCGAATTCAGGAACTGACCTTTCGGTTCTCGATGTTGGTACGAAGCTTGTGATTCCCTTGCCTTGCGCTTGCTTCAATGGTACCGATGAGTCTCTTCCGGCACTTTATCTATCTTACGTTGTGAGGGGTATCGACACAATGGCTGCAATTGCAAAGAGATTCTCCACCAGTGTTTCGGATTTAACCAATGTCAATGCCATGGGAGCTCCTGATATCAATCCTGGTGATATCCTCGCTGTCCCATTGCTAGGTACGATCCAAACTCTCTCTCTCTCTCTCTTCTTTGTTGAGTTAGACAGTTCTTATTCACTGTAAATGTAATCATTTTCAGAGGCATAAGAGTTTTAAAGTATCAATCTTTAGATAGGAATTTGCCAATTAAGTGCCAACTATAACATAATATTGAGTGTTTTGTGTTTTTTTTTGTATTAAAACTTCTCAGCTTGTAGTTCAAATTTTCCCAAATACGCTACGGACTACGGATTGATCATTCCAAACGGAAGCTATGCTCTCACCGCAGGCCACTGTGTACAATGCAGTTGTGTACTCGGAAGCCGCAGGTATTACGCAGTTTGAGTTTTGCTAATCGTAGTTTGGCTAATTTGCTGATCTTCTATTGCATTGATGTGATCACAGTATGTATTGTGAGCCTGCTTCTTTATCAGTCTCTTGTTCGAGTATGCGATGTAGAAACAGCAATTTCATGCTCGGGAACATCTCTTCGCAGCAGAGTAGCTCGGGTTGTAAACTTACTACTTGTAGTTACAATGGTTTCGTTAGCGGCACTATCTTGACCACGTAATGAGTCTTTTCTTATCATATTTCAACTGCTAATAGATTGGTTGACAACCTATTTAACCAATCTCTCTCGGTTTGTTTTTAAGGTTATCCATGTCCCTTCAACCACGATGCCCTGGTAACTATACTTTATGATACCTTATAACAAAGCCAATGAATGAAATCTTGGTCTCTAACTGAAGTAAAACAATTTGCAGGACCGCAACAATTAGCGCCGCTTATAGCCCCTCCCGATACTGTTCCAAAGGAACTAATGTATGTACCTTCGCCTTCACCTTCACCTTCACCTCCACCAGATGTTGATGATGTTGGTGATGGAGGAATTATGACCGCACCTGCAGCTTCACCCAGAGGACCTATTGTTTCTTCAAGTAGTTCAATCCCGGGAAATCCAGCTAATGGTCCAGGCGGGAGTATCTCTGTAGCTTCTTGTCCATTGAGCTGTTACTCATTCATTGCGTTTCTCATCTCCATTGCTTCTTGCTTTCTTGTTTTCTTAGTTTGAATGCAAGACAATCTCATTATTGGCTTCTTCTTTTTTCTGTGTTTTTTTCTTTAACTCCTGGACATTACTAGCGGACTACTACTTTGGTTAGTGATTATTCCGGTTTAAATTGTCCGATTAACAATCCTTACAAGTTAAAAAACTTATCACATATGACATACCCTACAAAATATAACTTGACATAATTTAAAAAACGCATATGAACATCAAAATGAACATCACTCATTAATAAATGAATCTTGATCATGCGTGCTGAAGCTAACACTGTTTTGGTATGGATCTCAGATATTTAATACGGACATCTACTTCTAAAAGCCCAGCCCAACTAATTTGAGATGTCTCCTGGAGAGACGACCCAACTTTACTTTAAAAGGAACTTTATTATAGACTAATAAGGAGAGTATATCATTAATTCGAATTTTCATATTAATTCCTCCAGCAAAAAGATTACTAACCATATTTTTACATTCTATACTAGAAGTGGACCCGCGCTACAGCGCGGGGGAATATTCATGATTTATGCTACAGATAATAAATTATAATATATTATACTTCTTATTATTTCTACGGTAAATTATATATATGTACATGAGTTTACATTAAACAGTAGAGAAAAAGAACCATTTAACAACGTGATTTGATATGTAATTTTCAGTTTGATCATATTAGTAGTAGAAATAATAATATAGGTAAAAAAATTGGTGACCAAGAAAAAAGAAATAATATTCATTTACATTCTCACAATATATGTTGTGGCGAATTAAGCTGCAAAGAATTGTGTTCAAAGAAAAAATTATTTATAAGCCGCTTTACTATGTGATTGTGAATTTTGCAAGCCAACCCGTGATTTTTTAATTAAAATAATGACATAAAAATTAATAATGATTAAGAAATAGAAGTATAATTAAATAAATATATATAGTTCATAAATACCGTATAAATAACTTATAAAAACTTCTTACAAGGATATGTAATTCAGTTTGACCAATTTATTAGTATCAAAAATAATAATACAGATAAGATATTGCATTTGAAAAAATTACATAATCACAATGTATTTAATAAAATACATTTAACTAATTCCAACTAATTAGCATTATTATTAATTTTATTACTATTATTTATGTATTCATATATGCATTTTTTATATTTTATACCAAATATTTTTAAATTATGTTTTTATATATGCATTTTTATATTTTTTTATATTTATAATTTTTGTTCAAAAACATTATATTTTTATTAGTTATATATAAGAATTTCTTATACTAATTAAAAAAAATTTAAAAGATTGCGATCTTTTATATTCATAAACATATTCTCTTTATATTTTGCGTTAATATAGTTTTCTAAACTATAATAATGTAATATTAATACATATAGTACTTTCCTAAATTATATGAATTTATTATATAATTTTCGGAATAAATTTTAATTTAAAATACTTTCCAAAATTATAGGAAATTATTGTATAATTTTCGGAGTAATGCATAATTAACATAGTTTCCTAAATTATAGGAATATGTTAATGGAGGTCAACATAAAAAGGAATATATTAATATTTCCAAAATCAGTTCAGATTTTATGGTTTATATCTATATCCGAAATTTGATCCAAATTATAAGTATCCATTTAGCAAATTTCGGGTATTTTTGCTAAATTGACCCGACCCATTTCCTATTTGTACTTTTCTTTTACTAATATAGAGATTTTTCTCGATTTTATTCCTTCCATTGGTCCTCTCTATCTATTTTGTTATAATTAGACGATAATTTTGTTCAAACGGAACTTCTAAACAAAACAAAAACAAAGTGAAACAAATCAATAGGATTTAGGTAGTTGAACCTACTTAATGCACGAACATCCCCATAATGATGAAACTCAGTTATCTTCACTTTCCTAGAAACTTCTCCACAAAAAAAAAAAGCATGTACTGTGTATTATTCAGCGAACATATTTAATATCAATAAATCGAAAAAATCTCGATTCTGCAAATAATTATACTTGCATATCTACCTATAAACCCTACATGACTTATTCTCAATTTTGCACCTTCTTGGAAATTTCTCGACGCCAAAGCCGTACCATCGTACCAGTTTCTTATCCTTTTGATAAATTAAATGCACCTGTCTACAGTATATAATTATATATTCAGAAAGGTAACTAAAGATATTGTAAGATAATAGTGTCTTTGTAATGGTAAGGCCATCTCTTTTGTTCCAGTACTTATTGGGAAAGTACGGATCAAACGGAGAGAGTAGTACTATGCGGTGCCAGTGAAGCTGGTCAGTAGTATGGGAAACTGTTTCACGGTCAGGATAAGTTTCTTATTTTATGTGACTTGGATAAACTAAAAAAACTTCATTGCCAAAACCGTATAATGAAAATGGAAGAAGCCTCCAGATGCTTTGTTGCAAAATAAAGAAAGGAAAAAAAGGAATATATTTTGGGGCTGTAAAGCTGACAAAATTAAACTGCCTCTGTTTGACCTTTTTAAGGGTTTGCTTAGGACCAAAGTGTGAAATGTCTAAGCGAAGACAAGTCTCGTATAAGCTCTCTCGAGGCTTTGTGAAAAAGTCAAGGCTGTCCCCGAAAAAGAACATGCCATCTCTCAAACTCCTTCGATCATGTGCTCTTGCGTGTCTTAAAGTTCTATATAAGGTCTGTTTTGGCTTTTGCCGAAATACACATGCTTCTTTTGAAATCATTATCTGTGCTTTAGTATCTATCTACACATCTTCATATTCTCACATGCATGCACATATATCTAACATTTTTTCTTCTTTTTTTTTTGAAGTATCGAGAGCCTTCTAAACCAAATATATATAAACTTAAATTTGACATGTTAATGCAGTGATTATTGGATTTGTATTCATTAAATTTAAATTATAAATTTTATTTTTATACCCGGAATATTTCTAACAAACACTTTATAAATACATGTCGAAAAGCGTTTAGACTGAGTATTTCTAGCGTGAAAAATGGAACTACTAATTAGTTACAGTACTGCCCTAATTTGTATGATTATAACACCTATATACATGCTATATGGGAATTCTAGATCCATAATATATAGACTATAGTCATGTATATTAATTAGTTGGTTGTTTTAGTGTAAAATTAGCAAATCTAGATTTGTAGTTTAGCTAGATTCGACTCGGAGAATCTCCTCAAAATTCACAAAACAGACTTCATATTGTATGTCTAAAAAGAGCAACGGGACCGGAAAGTTAATTTAAAACTTTTAAACTAGGCTTAAGTATGATATAAACACATGATCCTTCAATGATCTAGACTCTAGTTATCCGACGTATGACGTAACTTTAAATCGCGTTTTCTTTTCTTTCTAAAAGTATGAAAACAAAACAAACTATGAAGTGAATGTTGTATTGTACTCATCAGATTATGAAGATTTTGACAATACATCTAGGTTTACAGTTTGTTTTCTATGTGTGTGTTAGAGAAGTGTTGGGAACGTATAATGATATTTATTGTTTACCAAAAACAAAGAAAAAAAAACACACTAGTACTAGCTATAAATTAAGAAAAACGCGGTTTTGGTGCAGTAGCGAGACAGAGTGTAAACAGCTGTTTTTGTGTTGTTTAAGTGTGATTCACTTACTTCAGTCTTCACTATTTGGCTGCGCGTTTCCATTTCCATTCCCTATTACATTAGTTTTATCAACAAATATCTTAACATTATTATTTGATAGTAGTATAGTACAAATACAAAATATACATTTTATAATCTATTGCTTAAAATGTTTTTAGGTTTATAATTATTAGTTTATCATATTTTTGTTAATTTGGGAGACCTCACATGCTACTTCATGAAGCTGCCTCCCCTTGTCCCTCCATATCAGAATCCTATGTATTTCCGTTTCTTTTATAATCATAATTCATTATTTTTCCAATAGATCGATGTATTCAAAAACAAAGTTCATTCATAATTGACTATTATGATTTAGCATTCTTCTGCATGTTAAATTCGAGAGGCTTTATTACTACGTACATTTTACAAGTGATTAAAAAAACACATCATCTAAACGAAACTCCTTTAATAGATACCAAAAAGAAAAAGAAGAAGAAAAAAAACATAGACCAATGAGCAGGTTTGAAGGGTCTCTTTCCACGAAGTATCGTAGGATTTGACACGTTCAAATGCAGCTGTAAATTTGCAATTTCCGAAAGTGATAGCTTGTGTTATATATAGCTCTAAGCCTCTATTTAAGTCATCAAAACATAGACTTCTATTTATAAAAAAAAAAATATCATCCTCAAAATTAACTAGTAAAAGTAATCCTTGGTTTCCCCACCAAGTGGCTTCCGTACAGCTAGCTGTACACTCATCTGATAGATTTGTTTTTTTAATATGCTGTTAGTTTAAAAATTAAATTCCATCAATGGTTACTTTTTAATATACCATTAATCTTTCAAACGTACTAATAATAAAATAAAGAGAACAATGTATTCGAATGTTACTCTAGTAACTTGGCCTTTCACGTCGTGGAGAATGTCTCCATTTGATCTAAGTCATCGTCTGAATTCTATATCAACTACAACTTTTCAATAATGGTTACTTATGTAGCTACTATAAACGTCTTGAATAATGAAACTATTTAGTGTTTTACATATCTCATAGGTTAGTTTGAGATTTCATTTCATTGATATATCCTGGTACCCAAAAAAAAAAAAATCTTGATATAAATTAGGAATATATAGCTACTAGACATATGAAACAAAAGTCTGACATATCCATTTGTGATTATGCGGGTGAAATTAATACTAATTTTAAAAACACCTGTCATGCACCAAAAACGTCACATTCATACACAAAAACGATACTATTTCATTTGACCACACTTTTGATTTTATAAAAAATAAGCCAATTATTATTAATTGTCCCATCCCCCTCCTCTCTCAATTCCCTCATATCAAGTCCATGCTATATATATATAATCTCCTATCTTCGACATTATTTCCCATCCAAAATACTTTTCTCAGCTTCTACCCAAACACTTAAACTACAAAAGCATCCAAATCAAGAACAAACATTACTACATATATATATATCATGGTGAAACAAGAAATCAAGATCCAAGTTACTACTTCCTCAAGATCATCATCACTCTCTCATTCTTCATCACCTTCTTCCTCTTCGTCATCGCCACTACGTCATCACCAATCTAGTAAGAACAAGATACAGAAGTACAAGGGAGTGAGGATGAGAAGCTGGGGATCATGGGTTACTGAAATTAGGGCACCAAATAAAAAGACAAGGATCTGGTTAGGTTCTTACTCGACCGCAGAAGCAGCTGCTAGGGCTTACGACGCTGCTCTCTTGTGTCTTAAAGGACCTAAAGCCAATCTCAACTTCCCTCACAGTACTTCTCCTTTTCTCATGAACATCGACGAAAAGACCCTTTTGTCCCCAAAATCCATCCAGAAGGTTGCCTCCCAAGCCGCTAACTCATTCTCTTCTGAGCCTTTTACCCCTCCCTCCGATGAGGATGATCATGATCATGATCATAATGAACTCCATAACCACCCATCTCCTTCTTCTTCTGCTGCATCTTCTCCAACTGATGATGGTGATTTGGCATCTCATCATCATGATTGCGATGATAGACTCCATCACCATCCATCTCCTTCTTCTTCAGCTGCATCTTCTCCACCACATAACGATGATGATGGTGATTTGGTATCGTTGATGGAATCTTTCGTGGACTTCAACGAACACGTGTCTCTGATGGATCAGTCGTGGTATGGATTTGATCAAAGTGAGATGTTCCTCGCCAACGGATCTCCATTTGATTATTCTCCACAGTTGAATAGCTCGAAGACGACGATGGATGACTTGTACGACGATGCTGATATCCAGCTATGGAGTTTCACTTGATCCGACGGTCCATATTAATTATACCGCGAGACACCCTTCAGTTCACATTACTTCATTTAATTCATTCTTTTTATAAATATACCAATTGAGATTCGTCGTGTTGTTTGTTTCGTTAAGTTGCTTGTTGCAAGGAGCAAATTAACTATTGATATGTATGAAAAAATGTTATATACATATTTACAAACTAATTTAAGAAGATCACATGAACAAGATGCCCTTTTTTTGTTTGTCACTTCTTGACTTTTTCATGTGTTTTTTTCCCCCGATTTATTTTAGTACACATTTGTAATAAGTATCGTACTTGTTATTTTGTCAAATCATGTAATTCTCAAACTATTTCTTGATATTCAACTATTCAAGGCCCAATATAAGAAACGGAGCTAATGTATAGAGTCCATTTATGAACCTGACTATACATGCATACTTGGATTCCATCTCTGCCATCTGCTTAGGAACATCTTTTCTATTTATCGAACCTATCAATGAATTCCACACATATGAGCTTGATCAATTTTGAGATTTAAATTCTACACCTAACTAAAATCAAACCTCCTCCTCAAAGGGACACGAGCATATGGGCTTGAATGCCTCCTTGGATGACGATTTCTGAATCCAGGTTATGTATAATTGGGCTCTATACGTTATGTCGTTCTTTCATATTGGGCCTTAAATATACATCCCGCGATCCACCTGATTTGGATTTTTGTGTGTGTGTGTGTGTGTGTGTATTACTTAGCAATAAAAGCCGAAGAGATCAAATACTCAAATCTGATCCAAATGTATATGTGAGCAAGTTCCAAACATTTGAGCACAAACTTTTATAGGCTATACATGTTTGATTTTGAGAAAAGAGGCTTTTTAAAGAAAGTTATAGTCTGTTAACAAAAAGTAAGATGCTGTTAAGTCAAATTTATAAGGTTAAGCTCATCATGTGCTTTGTTGGTTTAACAAACAGTTAACAGACTATGTTAGACTTTTACAGAAGCCATATGTTACTTAGCTGTCTTTTTACATTTTTAATCGTTTGTACCTTTCAAATTTTACTTTAGTTTTAGTATTAAAGGCTCCCAAGTCCCAAAGTTAAATCTCATAACCTCTTGGCTACTTTTTTTTTTTAATAAACCGATTGCTATAACTGTTTTATTTATTTAGTTATGATGTTATTATTAAAACAAAATTTGTGCTACATATTAGTATATCATCATGACATAGATAACTTGTACTTGATTGCCAAAAATAAAAAGATAACTTGCACTTATTATAAGTTACACATTTTCTCTCACATATGATTTATATCAGTTTGAATATATATAAATCAATGCAAAACATATACTTATGTGAGTTTATACGATACTATAATACTGCAGGAAGATAGGAGCGGGGCAGGGGGATTGGAAGATGAAATGGTCCATAAAAAGGTGGTAATCGTCAAACTCGAGGTGACAAGAAATAAAAAAGTCGGTTTGCTTTGTTATTTTTTTTTTTTCAGTGTTAATAATGCAACTTGTAATTATATATGTTGTCTGCATTTCATGGTTTGATAGCAAACCAACTTGATATATCAATCAATGATCCAAAATTAAAAGGAGGAGGAGAAGAGAGCCTCGTAGATATGAGTTAGTTTCGAGAGTTTACCATTTGCCCATTTGGGCTGCTCCTGTTTAGTACGTAAATTTGAGAGTGGTGAAGTAACAACCCTAGCTATATATATATATACAATTATACATACTATACAATACAATAGTATAATGTAGTAAAAGATAGCGCATTAATCACTGAATACGGATTGTCGTGTGGAAAGCTATATTTGACCAATATGAAATATGCTTTGGGTCAAACAATGAAACCCCATTGGACAAGCACTTTCATCAAATCCTTCATTACTCAAGTATGTGAGTTCTAATAAACAAACCCTATTTAAATCATCAGTATGATGCCTTTGCTCTTTGCATTTAATATATTTTTGTAATAAACGAGGCACTTAATAGACATTCATATCATTATGCAGTCGCAGACAAAATAAAACTAGAATTTAAAGATATGAATGTACTAGTATAAACGTTTGTTTTATTTTTCGTCACTAAACTCATTGAATATAAAATCGCATAATCATTATCATAATATATATACGACCTCACCCTAAAGCTAATTAATGAATGTACACAACAAAAACAAGTAATTTCCTCGCGTCCACAAGATTTATTAGTGCTGTTTAAAATCTTGATTATCAAAAAAATGAGATCGTGTATATAAAGCTAATTAATGAATGTACACTACAAAAACAAGTGGTGGTAGTCGTGCAATTATCCAAATTATTTGGCTGTGCATAGATGTCGTATATTGAATAAGTATGGCAGCCTTAATCTGTTGTCGTCGACCAATCAAAATATATAAATTACGTGTCGTAAGTAAATAACTTATATCAATAATTTCAATAAATGCTTGTTACTCTCGTAGCTATAGGGCAATATTTATTGCGATTGAAATTTCATTTATAAGGCCACACAGTACAGTTTCTGTTTATAGAACTTGAAAATTGTACCTTACCAACTGTCTTTTTTTTAAAAAAATCTTTTCTTTTCTTAAGAGCTAATTTTTGCATGTTGAGTAGTTAAAAAGAATAGAGAGACCTTCAAAGTTTGTATGAATCACCAAAGATTTTTCATATTTGAGTCAAACTGTTGATGTAAGCAAAATTGCCACAGGATCTTCATGACATCAAAAATCATTCCCTTGGAGTAGTACCAAGTTAGTCGATGTACCATGCATACACGCAAGATATGAATCCGCTCAGATAAACAAATAAATCAAGATAATTCATGTATATAGAGTGCTTATTATAAGTAATCGAAAGTTATATACGGTACAAAATGTACTATGAAAATGTATCCCATGCACCAAAGATTGTTTATACAGTAAAACCTCTATAAATTAATAATGTTGGGACCATGAAAATCTATTAATTTATAGAGGTTTTAATTTATCGATAAATTAATAATTATTAATTTATAGAGAGATTTTCCTAATTTGGAAAAAAATTTCAAAAAAGATTTAAAAATAAGATTTAATCATGATAATTAATATTTTATATAATCATTAACAAAGAAAATAATAATTATTATGTTTTAGAAAAGAATTCTAACAATTTTTTATATAGTAAAATATTAGAAATAAACTATGACAAAAAATTATGTGTCTATATATACATATATTTTGAAAATTTTACCTAATTATTAATTTATAATATTGATGGGACCATATATTTAAAAAGGATTTTCAAAAAAATTATTATCTTATTATTTTATCGAAATGTATCTAAATTTACACTGGTCCCAACTTGGGACCGGAGAAATTTATTAATTTATAGAGATTATTAATTTATCGAGTATTAATTTATAGAGGTTTTACTGTATATGACTTATTTCAAAATCCTTTATAAATGATCCTAACGAAACGATATACTTGACACGTTGAATAAAAATAGTTTTGAACTTGTTCGTATATATATTGGGATATAGCTTGTAATTATGGATGACTAGATGCTTAGTTATCACTGATGTCTATAGATGAATATGCTTTAACGGAAAAATCAAAAGATGCCACAATGAGACTGTATTTGCTCTTACACTCAAGAATTGTCTCTTCTGTATCACAACTAATATATTTTCTTGATTTTTGTTCAATCATATTTTACTATGTCTAGCTACTGAGATACAGTAATTGGTAGGATTCAAACCTAAACCCACAAATTATTTTTGTGAGACCAGGATCAGACAAATTGCTCTAAACATTTCGTTTAACCAAATGATGAACTATGGCTTTGTATATGTAACAATTAAACTAGTGACTCTAATTATATAGCTCCGAGTTTCTACCAAAAAAAAGTTATATAGCTCCGAGTAAATAGAAATATGCTAGAAATATTTATTGATGTTCAGTGTTCACCGGAGAGGTTTTTGGCATTTTGCAACTAATTCAGTGAGACCACTTCACAGTTACAGGCCATTGAGCATATCGGTCCATTGATTTATAGTTTTTACTTGATATGGCTACTATTTAACCTACGTTGACAAGTCTGTGTACGAAGTATCTTCTTCATCCTCTCTTTTTTTCTTTTCTTTTCTTGATAATAATAATACTATATTTCGAGTTTTCTAAAAATAAATATTTAAGAGATCAAATCAAGTACGAAACTAATCAAAGATTCCGATTTAAGGATAATGTTTCATTCTAACAAAAATCTATCGATCTGTCAGTGATTCAGATCATTATACAAAACATCAAATCCAATCATCCACATTTTCTCTACATTTTTTTTTAAAATCAAACATTACTTCTTATATGTACATTTACATTAGTAGACAAATGGAAAAAAAAAAAAAAAAAAACCCTTCCATAGTAAAGCTTCTCATAATTCAAGCTTTACCAGGGTTACATTAAAAAAAAAAAAAAAAAAAATTCTAAACAATTTTTTCTATGTCATCTTTACTTGTCATTTTCACCTCCTTTTTTTTTCTAATGTTTAATTTTCACAAATTTTACCATCCATTTGATTCTGAACGGCTTTCACAGCTGCAACTCTCGCAGCCGTCGCAGCCTTATTAGCTGCAGCCACAGCTCGTACCACCTGCTCATCGACCCGTCTCTGATTCACTCCTTTCTTCGCCCTCTCTCGTGCACTCTGCACCATTAACTATCTTTTAATCCAAACAATGTTTTATTAAACATTTCCAGCTAAAGTTTCATCCTTTTGAGTATATATATATATAAAATACCTGAACCGCTCTATGAACCGGGCCGGATTCCGGAGGAAGATGGTTAACGAGATTACCATCGTCCCATTCACCGGACTTGATATCACCGGTTCTGAATCTGTACGTGCCATAGCCTTGCTTACGACCTTCGTGCCAAGCTCCTTCGTAATAGTGACCATTAGCAAAATGGTAAACACCAAATCCATGAATCTTGTCTCCAAAATACTCCCCTGCGTACTTATCTCCATTTCTACAACAGCAAAAATATTCATAACTATAAATAATAACTCAAAGAAGTGAAAACAGAGATATAGAAGCTTTTGTCTTTGTGTGTTTTTAACCTGAAATGGTAAGATCCAAGTCCATGTTTGACACCAAATTTGAATTCTCCGACAAAAGAGCTTCCATCAGCACATGTTTGTACACCAAAGCCATGGCTTTGACCGTTGAACCATTCACCAGAGTAAGAATCACCAGTGTAAAACCAGTAAACTCCATAACCATGTCTAAGTCCTTGCTTGTACTGTCCTTTGTACTTGCTTCCTTTAGACCAACACTCGATTCCATAGCCATCGTATCTTCCATTGATCCAATCTCCTTCATATCTTCCATTTACGAAGTAGTAGTAAACTCCACTTCCGTTACACTTCCCTCGGTTAAACTCACCTTCGTAGAAATCACCACTGCTGAACAACTGAACTCCTTCTTTGACGACCAGTCTCGTTTCATCTTCTTTGATCGGTTCCGGTTTTGAATCCCCGATGTACCATTGAACCGGTTTCGGTTTGTGTTTGATTCGAGACCTTACGCGAATCTGTTTGATTGCGAATACGGTTTGGTTAATAACCGCCATGTTCCGCGATGCGAAGAACAGAGCAACGGCGACGAAAATCAAACCGAGTAAGAGATTCTCCGACGTGAAAACCTCATCGACGAAGAAAAGTAAGAAAGATGAGAGACTGAGGAAAGAGAGAGAAGCGAGTGTGAAGGCGAGACCCGGTTTAATTCGATTGATTGACCCGAATGATTTAACTGGTCTTTTTCTCCTCTGTTTCTCTTCTTTCTCACCGGATTCTAGATCTTGTTCACGGCGGTGGTGAGAGACTTCGTTGAAGTCATCACATTCAGTGATTGAAGAAAGGCTTTGGATCGATGATCGAATCGTCGGAGATGATCTGAGTAACGACGATTGAGTCCTCGTCAGTTTCGATTGGCTCATCTCCTCGGACGAAAAAAACTTATAGCAAAACAGAGCGAAAACAATAAATCAAAAAAGCTCCGATCGAGAAGGCTCGATATAGAGTCTGAATTACCACTTTCTTTCTCGACTTTTCCGGCCTAATCTTAAACGGAAATACGTTAGCCACCACTGCACCACCGTGCCGAGCATCGCAAACACGAGAGATCTCGTAACTCCAGAGAAAGACGTGATCTTTTTCGTCGTTTTTGTTTTCCGGAGAGTTTTCACGGCGAAGCTAAAAGAAAGAAGAAGAAGAAGAAGCTCACTTTGCTTAAGAGAGATCGAAAGATAGAGAGAGAGAGAGAAAGCTTTGAACTTTGAAGCGGGTCTGAGATTATTTTAAGAGACAAAGGAAAAAAAGGAATTCGATTCAATATTGACCGTTAGATGAAAATCTGACGGTTGATTAACGAAAGCAATGAACCGTGGCCGTTGGATCAGAGTAAGGGGAAGAAGGAGAAGAAGTCACGGTCTTGACGGGGAATATTAGGAGGCGGAGACGCTTTTTAGCTTTACTGTTGCAGGCCGGCACGTGCCGCTACACATACATCCATTGGTTGGTCACCTTTTTTTATATATTTATTTCATAAAATTCAAACTTTTCGTTTTTAAAATTATAATTTAGGGTGAAGAAAAAATCACTGCTTTTGGGCGAATTTTCTATATTAATATAACAGTTAATCTAGACTTTCAATAGAATATTCATACATATATATTTCAATCTATATTCATATGGTAAGCAAACTTTATTTTTATAAAAAATAGAAAAAGGTGTAAAGCCATAGGCTAAGATAAAATCAACGATTCATATTGGGAAGAAGAAGATAGTTGGTGAAAACTGTAAAGTATAGGTAGTCTAACCAAATCGGACGATCGAGATGAATTTACTTGATACGGAAATTAAAAATTCAAATAAAGAGAAGAAACACAAATATTGGTCTTGGATCATATTTGTGAATAATAACATATTTTTACGAAACATCCTCGCATGGTGCACTCCGCATTACTAGGCCCTCAGATATTTATATATACTTTCTACAAAAAAAAAATAAAAAAAAATCACATGGGACAATATTATATATTCTCAATGTACAATGCAAAATAATTTATTTACATGTGAATGCTTTTATATTACTAAATATATCTATATCTGAAAACGTTTAAGTAATCTCATTATGTTGCAAGCTGATGATATTTTATATCATGGTTACTTTGCAAAATATCGAAAACGACAATCTTAAGTTAATGACATTAGATTATAAATGGTTTTTCTAGTATTTGATTAATTAAGCTAACATCGCTTTCACTGAGATCTAAAGTCTTAACTCCTTCTGATGCATTCAATTTACTTTTATAGCTTTCGGCTTAGGAAAAGATATAAATCCGACCGCAAAGATTATAATAATTACATCAATTTCAGTCTTTCAGAGAATATTCAACCTTATTGTTATTAATTTACTCATTAAGGATTATTCAAGATTAAACAAAAGACGAAGACAATGCCTGCATTTAATAACGTGAACTTTTCTTTATTAATATTTTGCTTTGCTGAATCAAAGTCTCTCCTGAAATGGAACCGAAGAAGAACGAGCACAAGTCACACAACAACATTGAAAATAAAGGATTTTTCTAATTCAGATTTCAGACTTTTTTCTTTAGCTTCTGCTTCATCCTTTCGATTGCACCAAGCAACGTCTCTTCGTCTTTACAGAACGCAAACCTAACCAAGTTCTTCCCTTCTTCTGGATTCAGATAAAAGACACTGGTGGGGATGGCAACGACTCCAACTTCTTCAATCAGATACTCACAGAAGGCGATATCGTTCTCCAATCCAAATGGCGTGTGATCTGCAGTCACAAAGTAAGTCCCGCTTGACGGGAACACTGTGAACCCGACCTCTTTCAAACCCTTAACCAGAATCTCCTTTTTCGCCGCATAATCTCTTTTCAGCTCTTTGTAATACGACGCTGGTGCGTTGAGAGCTGCAATGGCTGCCCACTGCGCTGGTGTTGATGTAGCGAACGTGAGGTAAGAGTGTGCTTGCCTAACTCCCCAAGTCAGATGAGGCGGTGCAATCGCCCAGCCGATCTTCCATCCGGTTAAAGAGAAAGTCTTTCCCAAGGAATTCATGGTCACAGTTCTTTCGTACATACCGGGAAGAGAAGCTATGGAAATGTGATCCATTTCAAACGCAAGCTTATCGTACACTTCATCTGAGAACACAAGCACATCATTTTCAATGCAGAGGGATGCAATGGTCTGGAGCTCCTCTCTAGTAAACATCTTGCCCGTTGGGTTGTGTGGAGTGTTCATGAGAATGGCTCGGGTCTTGTTAGTTACCGCAGCTTTGAGCTCTTCCAAAGGGATTGAGAAGTCAGGTGGGCGCAAAGTGATTCCTTTAATTTTAGCACCAGCCATAGAGAGCGTCGCTTCATAGGAATCGTAAAATGGAGCAAAGAGAATGACTTCATCTCCAGGGTTTATTATACCCAACATAGCTGCAGCTATGGCTTCAGTGCAACCAGACGTAACTGTGACTTCTTTCTCAGGATCAACAACTAGACCTGTATCTACCCGAAACCGCGCAGCAATTGCAGAATTGAGCTCAGGGAGGCCGTATGCACGCGCATACTGATTTTTACCATCTTTAATGGCTTGGATCGCAGCTTCTTTAACAAAATCAGGACCGTCGAAATTGGGGAAGCCTTGGCCTAAATTGATCGCTCCGTGTTTACCAGCCAATATGCTCATCTGCGTGAAAATCGTAGTCTTGAACTTCTCTAATCGCTTCGCCACCTATGAAATTAAGTTCGACAAAATATAATTAGGATCACATCAGGAAGTCTAAGTTGCAATAACAAAATTTTGAAAAAGTCATCCAAGTAAATGGTTTTTTAAGAGGTTCTCATTTGTTACTAATATCTCTATACTGAGTCAATCAATGTACAAACGAGAAGAATCAGTTCTTGGGTTTAAACTCTGCGATGAAGTCTAAACCCATTACTAGAGTTACCAAGCTAAAAGGTGAAACTGGGATTGAACCGATAGTGTAAACTGTTAAAGGTACCATGGGACCGTACAGCATGAAACTAAGTGGAATCCGAATCGGACGAAATTTGAAATCATTTCGAACAGAGGAAAAAAAACAAAAACATCAAACTGACAGAACAGCAGCTTCCAATGTTGCAAAAGCAGTGCCCGAAACGAACAAATAGGACCCTTCAAAATTAGATCTTTCAAGAACAACGAAACACAAGAATCGAAGCATATGCCTTTTTCATCATTTGAGTAATATACTGACACAAACTATTTGAGATCACTAAGAAAACAAAGACCCTACGGGAAGTTGAAAAAATGAAATAATTACCAGGACGGGTTTCGGGGTTTGCTGAGTCGACTCGTCCTGAGTCGAAAATGTGGTCATGGTGGCTCCGATAGAACGATGGGTTTTCGGGCAGCTTCGTCGGGAATGAGTCGAAATTGGGAGAAGAGAGGATTTGAAGGCAAATTGTCTGAGCATCACACTATTTATGTCCAGGTACATTGACTCTGCTGCATTACCAAAATGATTGGGTAAGCTTTTTTAGGGTTTTTGATTTGATTCGATTCGAGATTTTGGAATTTTCCCTTGTCGCAATCGCAAGTTGCAACGTTTGACAATTTTTCGACATCCAATGGGCTTTTTACAACATAACTCATGATGATTCATGGGCCACGGCAGCCTTGAAGATGACGCAGCCAAGTTTTAAATCTTGTGCTTACCTTTTTGAGTTGTTTGTATCAATCCATCAATCTTCAAATAAAATAACAAAACGACAAGGAATTAGTCAAGTAATAATAAAAGGATAAACATATATGTTAGGCGAATAGGCTAGTGGTGTTGTAAGCCCACCAAAGGTGGCTTCGACTCCACTTACTCATTGTGTGGGACGGTTAATGTTGTAAGCCTTTTGTGTGGCCAAGTTAATAATATCTTTTCTTTTCTTTTTTTTTTTCTGGCATCGAAAGTAGCTTTAAGATGAATAGCTCGTGAATTGATTATAGTGTTGTATTTAGATTATTAGAATCAGATGTTAAGTACCACATTCAGTCATGTCCCTCTTAGAAAGTGTCTATTACCTAAAGTTTTCTTCTTTGCAGTGCACTACGGCACAACTACCACAAATGCCTTACATCATAATTGGAGTCGATCAGTGCGAGAGAGAGAGCACTCAGAACATCAAAATGAAATTACAAAAAACAGCTCAAAATGCAGCCGCTAAACCAGAATCCGAGACATAAGATTCCCAGTCTTGATATCTCTAACATCAACCTTTTCCCAATGATATACTATCTTTTAGTCCTCTGTTGTAATCTTATTGCAGAGGCTTGCTTACTCGATAAAATATTACAAGTGAAAGCTTCTGATGACTTCGGCCTACCCAAAATTAAAACACATATTGGGCAACAAAGGAATAGAAACACATTCTTGAACCAATGGGGATTCCAGACCGAACCAAAAACAACGGCAAGTCCCCACAATGGTCTCTATGTATCTATACCATCCAACTACGGAACTGTTCTTATCCGACATGATTTTTTTTTCCAGCAACTGTGATCTAAGAAAATTTACAACAGTTGCTATAGTCTGCCTCTTAAGAGATATCATTGCTCCACTCATATATGATATGAACTCATGTAGAGTCTTGTTCCTATATCAAGCTGACCGTCATCTCCACCCACAGCGTGAAGAACCACTGGAATGGTCGAGAAAAGCTGAACAGTCAAAGGAAAAACCGCAGGGGCTACTCCATCTTTTGTCACAGCCTCTGATGACTCGGTGTCATGGACAGACAATGCACTGCATTTTGCAACACATAAGTCACAAGGACTCACCACATATGCGACTTCATTCAAGGACTTCATATAGCCTCTTCCACCTCTCTTAAAATAGAGTTTATCAAGAATTAACGTTGATGTTGCCTCTAGCCAGTCTGCGCACAAGCCTTCGATTTGGTCATAGTATATTCTTCGTTCAATCTGTGACAGCATCAACAACGAGATAAGTATTCAGCAGATTGTAAACTGGGATTTAGATCATTTAATAGATGGTAAATGAATCAGTAGAGACTTACCCCGAGCTTGCTAATGTAAACAGTCATAAATCTTGATCCCAAATTCATTACTCTAGCTTCGCATGGGAAAACCTGCACGGAAAGGAAATAAATGAGAATTTTTAATAACGATAAACATAAGCGGCTGAAAGATGTAAGGTTCGAAATTACTTGCCTCTTTTTTCTTCAGCACAAACCAAGTGTAGAGCTTATCACATGCATCTCTGACTTTTCGAGAAGCCAGCTTCCGGTCATTGCAATAAGCAGCGACATCAGAGAGTATTTCAGTGGAAGGAACACCATGTTTCAAAGCAGCAGCCGATAGTGCTTCCTTGCCCTCCATAGATTCAGCGGCATCTTTATTGAAAAGAATGCCGGTAAAACAGCTTCTCACTTCATCAATTGATGTTTGCTTCAGTTCTGAGTACAACTCCTCAGCCTCAAGAGCAGCAGCTATGGCACGGTGAACGACTATGTCCGGGTACCGTCGAAGAGGAGATGTGAAGTGAGTATAGAGAGGAACAGCTAGTGCATAGTGTCCCCACTCAGCAACACTGTCCTTCAAATTCCCAGTGCAGAAGTAAGATGCTAATTGCATAGGTTTTATAGCATAATTATTGAGAATGTCTACAAAAACTGAGTCATATTTGAGGTTTCCCGTAATTTTCTCTAATGACTCCTGTAGTTGGCCAGAAGACGAAATATCCAAATCCATACCATGCTTTGAACAGAAGCCTTCAAATTCTTTGAGCTTGCGTGTATTTGGTTCTGGGTGCCTACGGAGCAATGCACTATCAGGGTAAGCTCGAGAAATAACCTCAGCCGCTGTCATATTTGCTAAGAGCATAAACTCCTCAACAAGAAAATTTGAACCCTTTCTCGAACACGTCACAAAATCATAGGGCACTCCTTGTTCATCAAATAAGAAAAGAGGCTTCGAATTTTCCAGCTGCAAAGCCCCATTTCTAAATCTTTTTTGCCTTAAAGTGGTGGAAATCTCACTAAGCTGTTTGACAGATCGAAATACATCACTCCATTCAAAAGATCCATGCACTGCAGGCCACCCATTTTCTGCAACATCATTTTTCCCATCAATAATATCTTGAGCATGGTCATATGAAAGCTTGCAGCACGACCGTATAACTGTACGACCAATCCAGCGATCTATCACATCCCCTTCCCTATTTAAATCCCAGAAAATAGAAAATGCTAGTTTATCAGCTCCTGGATTAAGTGAACCTACGCTCTCTGACAGTAAAGGAGGCAACATTGGTATTTTTCTCTGCAGCATATAAACACTTGTCGACCTAAACTGAGCTTCTATGTCAAGAGAAGTCTCTGGTAAAACAAAGTAGGAGACATCAGCAATGTGAACACCGACTCTAAAAAACCCGCCGGGTAAACTTTGCACTGATAGAGCATCATCGAGATCTGTAGCAGTCAAGGGGTCGATGGTTAATACACACAGGTCTCTCAGATCTTTTCTACGTTGCACCTCTTCTTCTGGTACTTCCCAAGGAACATGTGGAAGACTAATAAGTGAGCTAGCAGAAAAGTCAGAATCGCAAACCAAATTCTGATATAATATCGCCTTGATCTGAGGCTCCAATTCACTGCCTCGGCCAAAGAGATGTGTAATTTGGGCTACGGGAAATGGACTCCCTTCGCGCCAATCCACGATATGGGCAGCTACCAGCTCAGCCTCGAGAGTTGGATCAATATTCTCGAGTCTTTCTCTAATGCTTTCAGGTAAGACATGGAAGGGAACAATCAATTTAGGAAACCTAGGATCTGCAGGCATCAGTTGGACGTATTCATCATCAGAAAGAGACATAGGAGACTTGCACCTTGTTGCATCACCTTCCTTGTAATGACTCCATCCCTTGACATCAAGCAAGCCAACGATAGAATCCCTTAGAAGTGATTTTTCAACAACAGCGACTACTTGTCCAGTTGGTCGTTTGTGGGGAAAAGAACTAAGGATGCCGCATAGCTTCTCAACTGCACTGCCATTTCCTTTTTGCACAGTAGAAGAACCCAAATATGAATCCCGTAATGGTGTAGAAGTGTGACTAACACAGTTTTTACCTCCTTGTCGAATAACCGAAGATTCGTTTATCGAGAACCCATCTTTAAAATCTTCCACCACATCATCAGCTTTCTTTTGTCGAGCATTTTTGTCATCTTTCTCTGGGGAACTGTTCATTACTTTAGGCTTAGCAACACTTTCAGTAACAAATCCTTTCATCTTGGGCCACAGTGAGAGAGGATCCAATTTAATAACGACAATATCTCCTTCTACCTACATAAAGAAACAGAAGTCTGAACTTGAAAACCCAATTAATGAATCAAATAAAGTTCTCCAACATAGACAGAAAGGAAAAATATCGTGGGCAAAATTGCAAAAAACATAAATCAGGTAGTTAAAAGTACAGAATAAACCAAACTTACTGCTCTATTTTGGCCAACATTTCCATTGATTAGAATATCTGTAGGGACTCCATCGATCTTACAGTAAGCCTTACAAAGAAAAAAGCAAAAACATTAATTCAAAGTGAACAGAGGAAATCAACGGTTTAGAAACTTTAATCTCTTGGAAAATCAGATGTTGCTTCTGACCTCATTGCGGTTATGAGCATTCACCCGAAATAGTGCTTTAAAGGCTTCCCCTTTCTGATACAATGCATAAAAGTAAGCTATGAGGTCGAGAAAAATATATCTTAGATGTGTTTTTAAAAAGAAAACATGAAAACAAGAAAGAGAACATCTCAAATAAACCTCTAAAGCTTCTTTCACCGCATCGAGAGACCAGTGTGAAGAGAAAATCTTTCGCTGTGAGGAACCTTCAGTTTGGTGAAATAAGTCACCATCCGTCCTAGGAGACTGCTGACAAGCCCTAGGATCAGGGCACGACTTAGATAACAATTCTTTACTAACTTCAGGAGAAGGAAGCAATGGACTTGCAGGTCCCCCGGGATAACTAGTTTCTGCAAGCCCCTCAAAATGTATAGGCGGCATAGAATTGAAAGCAACATTAGACGCTCTCATAGCTCCAAGTGCAATGGAATGATCTGATCTCTGCTGCTTGGATGGAGAAGTATAATCTTTTTCTTTACTCCTACTAATATTTCTACCATCTGACGACTCCACAAGTGTATCTTCTACAGGTACTGTTTTTCCAAGACATGAAAGTAGTAACTTGTAAGGAAAAGGCAACAAACAGTTCTCGAATTACGAATAAGTTGCCTAAGATGAAACAAAGAGGGATCAAAGCAAAAACCCAAGAACTGAAGGAACAAAAAATCCAAACTTTAAACCCTAATTATCAAGTTCAAACTATAGAGCAAAACCCCAGAGGGCAGAGCTATCAAACAAACATACATTATACGAGATCAATTCGCAAACAAAAACCCTAAAAAGGAGGAAAAATAAATAATTTTTGGAAACCTGAGCTGTGCTTAGATCTTCGAATATGTTTTTGCGGCCTGTTCCTCTTCTTCTTGTGGCCGTTTTCAATTCTTTCAACTGATTGTTCCGCCGAAACACTCTTCATTGCTTAACAGTATAAACGATAAACCCTAAGACGAGCTCTCTGATTTTTAAGAAGAAAAGATATCTAACAATCAAAAAAAAAAAAAAACTAGAATCTTCCGATCAGATAAAAAAACAGAAACGGAAGAAGAAGAAGAAGAAGAAGAAGGAGGAGAAGAAACACAATTGGGAATCCGAATCAAAGAAAAAGAAACCAAAAAAGAAAAAAAAAAAAAATCAAAGGAATCGTCGCGAACTATACTAAGAAGAAAACAAGATTTTGGATCTTATCAGAGAGGAAGAAGAAGATGAAACAAAACAAATCAATTAATTAAAAATAATAATAATTTTGGTTGGCGAAGAAAAGAAAACGACGTTATGATTGGTCGGCGCAATCCGCCGACTGTGTGTGTGTTTTGCCTTTGCCTTTTCCTTTTCCTTTTTTTTTCTTTGATATTTTCCTTGTTTTTAAATTATTTTTTGGCTTCTACTTGTTTTATATTGAGCTTGAGTCGGTAGCTTCATATTATTACACGTGTAACTAGGAACTTCATCGGACGGCTATTGAGCTACGCTACTCTCTCTGTTCCTTTTCTTTTTTTAAGAGTTATATTTTTCATTCACCACCTTTATTGTTTTGGTTTAACCATATTTACGCCCAAAGGTGTCTCTAGAAATTACTTCTCAGTGGTTAATTTGATTAATTTCAGTTGAAGGATTATTAATGCGTTATTAAGAACCGGTAATTTCGGTTAAAGATTTTATTTATTTCTAATTTTTCAGTTAGAAATACCAAAAATGTTTATGTTTCCTTGATATTTAAGCAAAAAACATTGGCAGTGCCAAATAAACTAAACATTCCATAACAAAACACACTCAACATAGGATAATATAAGCAGTGTGTATTAGGAATGATCTTGAACTCATTAATTAGTGTATATAGTTGTGGCACCATATCTTGCATAAAGCAGATTTGATAAACCCACCACCATTTGGACAATAAGGATTAAGGAATGACATAGTAAGATTTTGAAAGCAGGTCGGTGACAATACTTGTGACATGCTTTCTCGCACACAGTCAGATTATTAGCTTTCCGGCATTCATTTTTCTGGAATACAGGTCTTGATGCAGCTCTTTAGTTCTCAAGGACTGATTTCTGAACCATAGCTTTTGCTGTTGACGTACCACGCCATGTTCATTGCCAAAGCCCCCATTAGTATTGATATTGTGTTTTTTTAGTTCCAGAACAAAATTGTCACTAGATAACTAGTGCCATACGTGGATGACCAAAAGAAGCAATGGTACGGAGTTTTTTATTTTTTTAACTAGTGTCATTTGATCTAATAATGTACTCATGATCCGATCTAATCCTTATGAACTTATGATCGTCTCCATCGTAGCCATAGGTGGGTTCTTCTACGAACTATGCTGATGAATTATTATTTCTGTTTCTCAAATCATAGTTTGTTGTATCCTCCTCTGTTATGTTTTTAGGATTTGGGATGTCACGACGAGCCAATGGCGCTTACAAAACCACAAATAGCACATGCATTTGTTAACCAGGATCCAAACCAGCAAAATCAAATTGAAATCAAGTTTATTTAGTAGAATGGACCTTAAAGTAGAAGACGTCATTATCTTGACATTTTTTGGTCTTTTGGATATCAACATCTTCTTTTATTGGCGTGTTTAATTTTTCTACATAACTTGATTTTTGTTGTTGTATACGCGTTCAGTGCTCAACAAAATTGGCAGTACGATTATGAACAAACAACGAACCTTTCGTCATCTTCGGAAATATGTGTCAACAAATTGGCAGTGTTTTATGTTTACCTTTTACGAGAGTAGAGTAATTACTAATTACCGTGATAGAATGAAATTAGACTCCTTAACGAAAATTAAAATTTGATTTTGAAATGGACCCATATTATTGCGTGTTTCAAGTTGATAAAAACCCAAAATATACGTAAGAGGCCGAACCTAGGCCCATGCTTGATATTTGGAAGTCAATGTCATTACGTAACATGCCAAACCTAAGCCCATGCTTGATATTTGGAAGTAAATAAATGTCTTGAGGAAATAAGACGTTTGTTGCACAATCTTTAAATTCTTGGATATAATTTGAGATTCAATTCATTTTGTTGTATTAGATCATTTATTTTAAGCTACCGATAAAAATAAAAGAAAGGGTAATCGATAAGAATAATGTGAAGGACGTTTGGTGAGGATAGAGATTGGCAACTACTTAGCTAGCAGACGCAGCATGCATGTGGCTGATGAAGATCGATATCTTACTGTCATTTCGAAGACAAAATGTGTATCGAACAAAGACTTACAAGAGAGAAAAGGACGATACGTAGTGTACAATGTATACATATTCAAAGCACAAACTTACAATTCTTCATCCATATATATTTCTCAGAAACCCTCCAACGCATTAACTTACAAACATGTCATGTACGGACCCATCCTTTGTTTTTTTTTTCTTTTGGTTTTGTGTTTTAGAAACCTAGCTAAGTGCACACACAAAAAAAAAAAAAAAAAAAAACCTAGCTACTTTAATATAAGTTGTTAGTGTCTAGTTCGAATCGCCTGTCGTCATTACTCTAGAAATAAAGTTCTTAATTAATATGGCTCTGTAGTTATTATAAAACAAATTTGTTACTTGTTACCATTACTGATTAAAATCTTGCCATGTGAAAATATATATAGCCTTTTCTCTGAGATGGAAACAAAATAAAAGTGAAGATATCGAAGATGATTTTTTTCACCAAGACCCCACGCACGTGCGAGCCTTATCTAATATCCACACGCTTTTTTGGTCATTCTCTTTCTCACTTTGTATGTTAACTTGCAGAAAACTCAGTTCACTAAAATAGATTTTTTTCATGCAGAAAACACGATCGAAGGCTGACTGGCTGAGCGCATATCGTGAGAACGTGTACATCTTGATTTTTTGTGTCTTGTCCTAGTCTCGTAACTTTCTAGAAATTGATCGAATACTGTTTTATTTTTTTTGAATTTATTGTAAATTCATTTTTAGTTTTTTTTTGGTTGTTGTTGTTAAAGAGTTTATTCTTTCTTAGTTGTCTATTGATGATTTAAAGTTTGATATTGTCAGATTTTCTTTTTTTTTTCTTTTTTAAATCTTTTGAATAAATCTTTTAATCTAACACGTTTACTTTCTTGAGATGAATCGCAATCTTGATATTGCAAGTTCAAATTCCAAAACAGAACATAGCTATTAACTTTAGTTTAAGTACGTAAACTGAAACATATGAAAGCATGTCATTAAGACCTTAACTACAAATTTTGTAAGATATAGTATTTAGTATTTTGACCCAAAAATATAGGTTATAGACTTATAGTATTCGTCAATGATACTACATATTGTTTCTTTTACAGTGATTAAACCAAAATTGAATAGTATAGTTGTTTAAAAATATAGGAATATCATATCACCCACAAAATTGAACTGTATTTGTTTCCACAATATGCCTAAACTCGTCCTTTTCCCGGTGAACTTCTTCTTTTGTATTATTATCATCTCACTGCAACGCAATAAAATTAGGTTAAATTTTATAAATTCAAGGAAAGATTTTGATAACATATTTTGTATCATTTCCTTTTGGCCATATTGTATTTGTATTATTTTGTCTACTTCTTTGGCAGGTAAAGAAAATGGCAGGATAGTAGTGACCCAACTTCCCATGAGATTGATTGGAGCATGGAAGTTAGAAAAGCTAGTCAAAAAGCAGTTTTGTTTAGATTGTGAAATCCATAAAAGCTCTTCTAATGTTTGTTAGAAAATAGCTTTTTGACACTCAGAATCCTTTCTTTTTTTCCAATTTAAATATGCATTGTTTCCAATTAAAACCATAACTTATTTATATGAGTCATTCGAATGTTTAATGTAGTTTCAAATTTCTAATATATTCGGAATGACATTAACACGACGGAATAAAAAATTATTGTTCCAAATAGAATACTTTATTTTGATATATCAACTCAAAATATTAGTGTTGATTAAATGAATTTAGCTTCTTTCCCCACCAAAAAAAAGAAGAAGAAGAATTTAGCTTCTTTCTTGTGATATAGTACCTTGTAATAAAAAAGTGGTAAGTCGAATGTCACCATCTTGTAAAATCAACCCAAGTGTCAGGTCTCTCGCGTAAACCAGATAGTGAGCTTGTTCCTACTTAATTATTGCGACTAGAAAAGCTATATGGTTTACTTTTTTTTGGTTGTTGTGGTGTAACTTACATGAAAATAACATCCTCAGAAACAAAACAGTTGATATATATGCTAAACGTTTCCCCAGTGTCAATTACTCATTTATTTATTCTTCAGGCGAGTCTTCCAACCATTGAATCAGTTGGTGATATGAGAATTTAACCGGATTGAGTTTGGACAGCCAATGGCTTGTAAACAAAGGCTTCCTTAGTCCTAACTCCTAAACACACTCACACCCGCCTGCCTTAAGCCTTTATTTGCCTCCTTTATAGAAAAATTAAATGATTTCGCCTTTCATTTCCTTTTTTGATGTGATGCTTATTTCCCATGATGATTCATCTCACGATCACTCGCATTCAGAATTAAAGTATTAACTGTTTAGAATTGAGATCTATCTATACTCGATTGCTTCAAAGATACAATATGTTTAAACCAAAAAAAAAAAAAAAAAAAAAGATACAATATGTATGCACAAGGGTATTATTTATACATGCATTTCCATAGAAAAAAAAAAAACTTAAAGGAAATTTTCGATTTCTTTTTTTCTTTTTTCAAGTACTTCATAAAGGGATCACACATAATAAACACACAGAAAATATTACAATGATCTTTATAGAAGGAACAACAACTAATAGGGTTGGCCTAAGATAGCCATCACACCTTAACTAAAGGAAAAAAAAACCCCAATTTACCAATACAACTCACCATAAACAAATTAATCAAACACAGAGTAAAAGATTATTGTCGTCAAACAATTACAAATAGATGTGATTTTTTTTAATTAATTCTAAATAAAATGATATAATTTGGAAAAATAAAATCCCCTCATATGAAACCCTTTTTCTAGAAGGTCTTGAAATGTTATTATGGCTTGTGAGGAGGGCACTGGTAGCATTTGGTAAAGAGACCAAAAGTGTCGATCTGACGAACAAAGTTGACCATACTTGCCCATCCTCCGAACCCAAATCCAACGACGAATACCCAAACCACCACGAATATGTTTATGCAGTATGTCCCCATCCATCCTCCCACCACTCTCGGCGGCCTCTCCACCGCATTCTATTCACAAATATATCAAAAGTTAATTAAAAAAATATTAGATTGACCAAAATGTAGTTTTATAAAAAACATTACATAAATTTTAAAAACCATCTAATAAAATGTTAATATAGTGTAGTCATAAATTTTGTAACCTTATACTAAAAAATAAATGACATAAAAATAGAAGATGGAAAGATATGTAACCTCTCTGGAAGGAGCAGGAGCAAAAGTAAGCATATGAGCCAGAGCTGGGATGATGTAGACAGTGAAACTAACTAAGAGAGATCCGACCGCAGAGTTGATTGGTCCGAAAAAGGGAAAAATGATCGCTAAGAACCAAATGGGAACAACCACGGGTAATCTAGCCATGGCTCTTTTGAACATGCTCTTCGTCTCGTGCACACCTATCAATTTCTCCCACACGAAATATAGCGGCGTAGACGCGAATCCGAACGTTATGAACTGATGAATGAGCATGAGGATCACGGCCGTATCTCTAAAACCGGACTTGGGGAGGAGAGAAAGTGCATTGGAATGAGTTAGCAACTGATCGCCAAACGCCCAATAAACCGCAGACGCGGATGGTAGCGTTAGCGTTAGTACATATATAGTCGCTAGTAGATATATTGCCTTGAACTTTTGGGGTTTCCACATCGCGTGCATTATCTCCCTATATGTGACATATTTTTTTAGTGTTATATAATATCACCATTATTTCTTGGTTTTATGAAAAAAACAAAAAAAAAGTGCTTACACAGTGACGGCGTGGCCACCGAAGGTGTAGAGAATGTTGGTGGCTCCGGTGAAGTAAAGCACCATTGTGGTTGGACCCGAGTGTTTCACATCCTCGGCCTATTTTTATTCAAAAAAGTTATTTTAATAACAGTAACCAGGACTTTATACTATAGAATTCCATACAAGAATTTAAAAATCCAATAATTGACCTGTCCGTGAAGGAGGGAAGCAATGGTGAGATACCAAGAAGTGTAAGTGGTCATAGCGAGTCCGAGGAATGACCAAATTCTATAATTGTGGAAGGAAGGAATAAAAACAGTTGTTGCACAACACGCCCCAAATATGTATGTCCATGTCCTCTTGTCCAATTTGTCATTAATATAATATATATTGCTACACAACAATCATTGTTATATATTAATACACTTCCCAATATGGAAAAAGCATATAATATAAAGAAAATGGAATTGAAATATTAATTTAACCTGGCACAAGCAATGAGTTGAATAACGGATCCAAAGAGAAGAAACGTGCAATTGAAGATCAATCCAATGTTTCTCCAATGTTTCCCCAACAGTCCATCCAACACCTCAAACCACTTTATACAAAAACAAAACAATATATTAATTTTTTTTCTGTAATACCATAACAAAACATTAGTCATAAGTAGTTTCTTATTTTTTGGGTTTAATATAGTCATAGACTCATAAATAGTTACTAGAGGTAGAATAATCAAAACCTGAATAACGTGATTACGGAAATCGAATTTCTCCCGTTCTTTACGAGTTCGATACTCAACGTAAAGAACACTAATGAGATAGGCAGTCCAGCTTCCCATTAATCCATAAAAGAGTTGAAACAAGATTCCCGACATCAACCCAAGTTGTGAGAACGAGTACGGTAAAGTCAACAGCACTTGCGCCACCTGCCATTACCACCACAGTTTAGAGACGACGACGAACGTACGATACAATACATGTAATATATCTAATACTATGTTTTGTGCAAAAAAAAAAAAAACTATGTATGTACCTGATTTGAAGCACAGCTAAACCAAGCATCATAGACAGACCCTCCATGCCAGAAGAAGTTCGAAAGCTTTGTTTTGGCTGAAGATCTGTTATCACCACTTATGTTTTCTTCTTCTCTTTCCATTTCTAAGTAGTTCCCTGCGACCACTGTCTCTATTTTCTCTGCCGCCATTTTTTTTTTCTTTTCTTCCTCTCTCTCTCAGTTTCTTTAGCTTCCACACTCTTTAAATAGATTAATGAAGATGACCATTTTTATATATTTTATAATTTATTATTTATATGGGTTTCTTCTTTTTTCTTCTCTGAGGAGGCAATAATTGAGTAACGAGTGTCGGGGGACGAAACCTTTTGGTCACAGCTGAAGTGGTGTCATGTGGTTATTGGTTTATGATTGGTTGGTGACGGAGCTATATCACCTACTTGTGAGTGTTACTGTTTTCGGCGAGCGTGGGTTGTTTTTTAATGGGCTTGATTTGTCGTTGGGCTTATGGGCCATATTTTTTTGCATTACACGAGCGGGTAGGCCCTGTTATGGATTGTTAATCATATATTGACCCTGATAATATGCAAAAAAAAGAGGATACACTAATCATAGATTTTAAATTTAAAGTTTAAAAAGTGAAAGAGTGAGAGAGTAGACTAATTGTAAATTGATAACAGAAGTGACGACAATGATGTTTCTTTCCTTTGTTGGGGAAAAAGGTTAAAACTACTATTATCATTAATAATTATTTGATTCATGATGATTGAAGTAACAACTAGATCAACAATGAATAAAACATATTGGTTCTTTATTTCGTCCTTTTTTGCGCAAGGATGATAACGATTTGTGTACATGTATGTATAAGTTTTAGATTTTTTGTCCGATTATAATACATAGCTGTTAATTGGAACTTGAAATCACATAAATTTATGCTCTTGTCTACCATATTGCACCCACACATATCCAAAAACTTGATCACAGTTAAAAAGACAGGAAGAAATAGTGAGATTTGTGAGGTAATCGAGGAATGGAGATGGATCCAATGGAAATAATGATGGCTAATCAGGTGAGATTAGTGCTTAACATAATTACCACACGTGTGTAGCAGCTGTCTTAGCCTTATTATAATCTCACTATCTCTCCAATTTTCTTATACAACAGTTTCTCCTTTTTCTTATATCCTTTATAGCTTTTGACAATGGATCGAATTATTAATGAGAAGGAATCATCAATTCTTAGATCTTTATAGCTTTTTAATCCGGCCAAAATGTATGTGGCAGGGGAAAGAAACTGCAAGCCATAATACATATAATCATACCTTTTTTTTTTCTTCTTGATATATAATATGCTTTTACATACGCTATTGTGTTATCTCTATAATCCAACAAAAATAATAAATATTATCATTCCCAAAGAGAGCAAATATTTCAGATATGATAATACTGAAAACAAAATTGCAAGTGACTGATCATTTAATATCCTGAAATCAGAAATTAAAATCACTGGTGAGATATGTTTGGAGTTTATCTTCATTATAAAATCGGCTTAACAACAACACTATAGAAGTATTCTTTATAGCACAATGTGACGAACAGAGAGATCAACAATTCTTTTTTCCAAAAAGCAGACTGCAAAAAATGGGCTGAAGAATGATTCATTTGAGTTTGAACTCAATGAGCCATATATATAACCCATCAACTAGGCCTAATAATTATATTCTTAAGTGAATTTGACACCCAATGCCATATGAGGCCATGCCATGGAAGGCTAACATACAGAAAGTCAGAAAGATCAAGAGAGTCATCCAAATTTGAAATTTCCATGAACAATACAGAAGTTATGCTACCTATCTCTCCAACAAAATCTACAGTTTAGTAATAATAATAACTAATTGATATTATGAGTACTATATATATGTTTATATATTGATAAGTACATCCCAACCTTTCGAACTTGACTACCTTAACCAAAAACAGCATCCCAAAGAATACTTGCATGAAGCATCAGGAAAGGAATAACACTATCACTAACTCTTTCCCAGATTCCAAAACCAAGGATTAACCTTACTTGAAAATAGTAAAATACTTATAACAGAGAGTAACTTGGTTTGTGTGTTAGAGCAACTCCAATGCAAGTTTTTTAGCAAATTTCTAAGAATTAAAAAGAGAAAAAATAAATAAAAAACATGTAATAAGTTAAGAAATAGTTTTTGCTAAGAATTTTTGAAATAGTTTCTTAGATACATGTGTCTACTTATGATTGAGTGGAGGAAAAAAAGAAAAAAAAAACAAATTTTGTGATTATTTAAAATGTAATGTTTAGTAACTTATTAAAAACTTTACCATTGGAAAGATAAATTTTACATAAGTTTTTAGTTTCAATTTTTGTAGTTTTTGTAATTAGAATATTACCAACATACTTGTTAAAAGATTTACCATTGGAGTTGGTCTTAGGCTCTCTATAACGTTTATTATAATTTTGACATATAGACTCTCCATGCAAGTTATTCTCCCCCTTTTTCACCCTTAAAAAAGGCAAATCTCACTTCAATAATTCCTCTTAAACCAAAACCATATAGGATAATTTGATCGTTATTTAAAATCCTTTTCCAGTAAAAATGCCAACTCGTTTCGGTTTGTTACCAAGGATCTTGCTTCTCTTTCTCACGTTGTTATCAGGTAAATAATTGATTCAGATATTATTGTATTTTCGACTGTCATCAACTTCTGTCCTTTGCGTATGGTTTTTTAGATAACGATGAACACTCGTACGTGGCTTTATTTTCACAGGAACAAAATGGTCTGAATCAGCTCGAGTATTCACGATCGTGAACTCATGTGACCAAAAGATCTGGCCGGCCATAACTCCCGGAGAAAACTTCAACGGCGGAGGGTTTGAACTCAAACCGGGCCAATCCATCGTGTTCACCGCACCAGTAGGCTGGTCAGGCAGAATTTGGGGTCGAACCGGCTGCAACTTCGACTCTACCGGAACCGGAACTTGCGAAACCGGTTCATGCGGCTCCACTCTAAAATGCTCAGCCTCCGGAAAACCACCGGCTTCACTAGCCGAATTCACACTAGCCGCATTGGATTTCTACGACGTGAGCCTCGTCGACGGATTCAACCTCCCGATGTCGGTGAATCCGAGGAACGGAAAAGGAAACTGTAGCGTGGCCGGTTGCGTGGCTGATCTGAGGCCACATTGTCCGTCGGAGCTCGCCGTTAAATCAAACGGAAAAGTGATATCGTGTAGGAGTGCTTGTGATGTGTTTGACAGAGATGAGTATTGTTGCAGAGGAGTTTATGGGAACCCTGTGGTGTGTCAGCCAACTTATTACTCAAAGATCTTCAAGCAAGCTTGTCCTACTGCTTATAGTTATGCTTATGATGATCCGACCAGTATCTTCACTTGTTCCGCCTCTGATTACATCATCACTTTCTGTTCCTCCAGGTTTGTCTTGGACGTAAATTATTTCTATATTTATTTTAAACCTTTTTGGTGATAATTTGTATATATATAGATAACATAAACTGTGTTTGGTTTAGATTTGAATTTATGAAAATAATACTGGAACATTTGAAAGCAAACATTAATCTATTAACTTTAAAACGTAAAAGTAAATATATTGAGTCTTTGTAGTTCATTGGTATGTATGTTATAGTAACTTTGATTGCTGTTGTTTTGTATGTATAGGAACAAGCCGGTGTGCACGTACCATGATAACAAGCTGGGATGCAGCGATGGATTTAAGACGGTGGCTACTGGGAGATTCTGGCTTGTATTGATATTTTCTCTTGTTGTTCTTAGCTAAACATTTGGCCTATCCGAATTTTAGATAAATAAGGTTTTTTTTTTTTTTTGGTTCTCTCTCTTGTGGTAAATATCTTATTTGTTCATATTTTCAAAATTTAGATATCATGTGGTTGTAAAATGTAAAAGGAAATGTAAGGTTTGCGTGTGAAAAATAAAGAAACACACAAAGTTGCAATCCAATATATTTCCACTGGACTCCAGGAGAAAATTCTAAAATTGCAGGTCATAATCTAAAAGAAAAGATAAATATAGAAGTCAAAATGTAATAACAATCGTAATATTATAAATGGGCCTATAATGGATCCAAAGTGAAGTCCAACTTATGCTTGTATCTTATCTGGTTTACACAAAGACTCGAAAACCTTGTTGGGTGTATTGCGTCATTGAAACGCGAGGAAACGAGGAAATCGAGAAAAAAAAACGCAATAGTCGCCGTGCTAATCTGATCTCCTTCTCCCTCGTCGGAAAAAATGGCCACTGGTGGGAAAGTCTCCTTCAAAGTCACTCTGACTTCGGATCCTAAGCTTCCTTTCAAAGTGTATGAGCATTTAGGTTCTTATTTTATTTATAGATTTTAGGCATTTGATTTGCGTGTGATTGATGAGATCTCTGGGTTGTTTTTATAATTCCGATCAGTTTCAGCGTACCGGAGGGAGCTCCGTTCACGGCGGTATTGAAATTCGCAGCAGAGGAGTTCAAGGTTCCTCCACAAACCAGCGCCATCATTACCAATGGTAATTAAGAACCCTTACCAGCATTCATATTGAGATCGATTTGCTCACCGAGCATAATTGCGAATTCGAATTTGGGGACTTTTCCCCTTCTTGATTGAATGGGACATATGCAGGAATCATTGTGATCCTTTTCGAATTCCATTTCATGGTTGTGCACTCACTAAGCCTTCTTTGTATTAGATACGAATTATATTTATGCATGTAAATTGTCTCTTTAAGCCTCTCGGCATATTTTCTGTGTCTACAAATTAAGTACTCTACTACTCACCTTTTAGGGGTGTGTTTTAGTTACCCCACATTGATTTGGTTTCTGCTGATGTTATCAATTGGCGTCGATACTCGAGATTACTGTAGTGATGATGTATCTGTATTTAATATGTGCAGATGGGATCGGGATCAATCCTCAGCAGAGTGCAGGTAAATTTCTTGGTGTTAAACATTTGAATTTGTTGATTGTTTCTCCTGCTCATCAATCTTATAAGTCATTGCAATTGGAAGATCCTTAATGTTGTGTACGCTTATTTCTCATCTCTTGTATGTAGTGAATTTAGTGTCCGGTATCGCTGTCTATTATTTAAAAGCTTATTACCTACAGTAGAAATCAAGCTTCATGATGTATGATTTTTCTCTCATGATGTATGATTTTTCTCTAGTTTCTCAAATGTTTAATAAGGTGTTATGAATGATGTCAGGAAACGTGTTCCTGAAGCATGGGTCTGAACTAAGACTGATCCCGCGTGATAGAGTTGGAGCTGCATGAAGGCTTGAAGCAATCAGTAAATCTCTGTTCTCATACCTTTTAAAAACATAAGAATAAACTAAATCTCTGTTCTCATAATGTAATGCTGTGCTCACATCCTTGTACGGTTTCACCGAATTTGGTGACTTGTATGCTTAGATGTGGACTAAAATGCTTAGATAATGTGGACTAAAAAGAAATATCGAATGGTCATCCTTCTCGAATCTTCCTAGCAAAAATCTCAATAAGCTTCGTTTTACTTAAATCATACATCATACAAAGTTGGTCTAATTTGTACGAGTGTGCGTCTTTTTGGCTAGTCTTTTTGGCTTGAAGTCCAAAAAGTTGGTCTAATAGTAGGGGCCCCATAGATATTCCATCATACAACATCATACAAAGTTGGTTGGTCTAATTTGTACGAGCCCCCATAAGGAAGTTCTGAACCTATTAACAGATGCAGAGAATCACCATTAGAACCGGCAGATGCGAGATCCACCCACGATGGTTTTGCTGATGGTTTTGCTAGGTTCTGACACCTGGCTCCCGAACCATCTGCTTCAACTCGAAGCCTTCCTTCCGGTCTGGAGGAAGCAAGTCGTGAGTCGGCCACAACCTACGCGTCTTCAAACCGCAGTAGATCAGCACCACACCGCATGCCGTGCTACATATTAACAAGTTTCTCTCATATGACAAAATCTTTCATAAAAATTATTAAGAAATCATCTTAAACATCTTTTTAATGTAGTAAGCAAGGAATATAAAAGTTAGAGAGAATATGTTATTACCTGAAGTATATATATAGCAAGTCTCTCTTTCCGCAGTGTTGATTTAAAAACATTTCCTGAAATATAAATCAAAATTGCACATAGTGTTATTACAAGAATTTTGACATACTACTTGTTCATAAAGTGAGTAAGAAAAACTGAGAGAGAGTTATGGAGAATTTTGACATACTACTTGTTCATAAAGTGAGTAAGAAAAACACAAAGAATGTTTTTTCACACATGAAGATGCTGCGTTTTCAACACATGTCGATTTAAAATTAAGAAAAACTGGGAGAGAGAGACAGAGAGTTATGGAGAATTAAATTTCCATGATAAGTTTTCTTTCTTGTGAAATAGAAGAAATACACAGTGCCTCTCAGCTACGAAAACAGAGGATCAAAGAAGAAGCAAAACAGAGGTATAGAACGTGTGTAACAGATTCGATAATGCAAATTGTTGATAAAAAAAATATATGACAGTGATACCGAAAGATGTAGGAGTGAAATCATGCGAATGAAATACGGATGAATCTACAATTTGAAATATAAGAAAAGATACATATATAGGAGTGAAATAATTTGAAATTCAAACGAAGAGTTCAAAACAAAAATGTAAAAAAACTGAAAACATCGTTTTAAAAAACGTAGAATTCTTAAAGTTCATGAAAGAAAAAAAAATCTATGTGAAAGGAAACTGAGAATCACTAACGGAGAGATGAGAATTATTACGAAGCAAAAGAGATGGAGGTCACATACATTGTTCGGTGTGTAAATCAGATTTGGATCGCCTTTTTTTGAAACAAGATTCTCCCGAGAAAACATAACTGCCAAGGTAACGAGAGATCACAGCGATTAGAAAATGGCATGAAACTAAGAAACCTTTTAAGACCAAGAGAAATGTTTTCGAATTCGGAGGTGTATACCTGACTGATCTGATGGTTCGAGCTGAGCATTAGTCGTGACTTGTATAAGCTATGAGTAGATGGACATTGGAGTTAAGGAGAAGGAGAGTCTCGTGGGCTGAAGTACGAGTGAATATCATGACTTGTATCTTCGTAAGAGTTGATTGGAGTGACGGAAGAAGGAGTGAGTCGTGGCTGACATGGTGAAGATCAGAGAAGACTGATTCTATTCTTTTTATTTATTTGGTTGAAGAGAAGAATGAAACAAAGTTTCTACGAGAAAAGAAGAGATGTGTTGCTATTGAGAGAGTTTTAGTAAGGGCGTTATTTATAGAGAGAGCTCGCTGGTTCGTAAAACTTCACAAACGGCTATATTCGTGTTTCTTTATATTTTTTTATTACGAATCTTACCGTTGTATCTCAGCAACGTTCGGATGTCTTCTCACTGATTTGACAGTTTAGCCGTTTGATTTTACTATTACTGTTTTATATCCTTCGGTTAAATAATTCGTCAAACGCTAAAACATCATCACTAGGCCCCATAATGGGCTTCTTAGCCCAAATACTGTATAGCCTCTTTAACAATCCAAGGCCCAATGGGCCTTGGAATGTAATCATTTCGGATTGAAGAGAGGAGAAAGGAGAAGCGGCAATAAGGAGTGAGTTCGAATCTCAATTTTTTTTTCTGGGTTTATTTTTCTCCTTTTTCCTCCTAAGAATTTTAAACCAATTCTTCTGTGTCTACTACTCTGGAGATTTCTACTACGTCGACGGCGATGGCGCTAGACTTGGTTTCACCCAGAAATTGAGGATTTTGATTCTGCTGCTGCGTCTCTGTGGGGTTTTTTTCGCTACGGAACATAAACGCTGAAGCAAATCGGAGATGCAGTTGAGATCTAGCCATGGACAGGGAGGCTAACCTTCCGGTCCAACCGGGTAAACTTCCCAAGGGTCTGGTTCGTCCCAGCGTAACCCAGGATACTTTCTCGTCTTCTTCTTCTTCTTCCTCCTCCACGCCGGAATTTCTACGGAATGTGCAAGCCGCTTTCAAACGCCATCGCCCACTCAGTACTCTCTCTCTCCCTCTCTCTGGATAAATTCTCTATTTCTGGAACTAGTTTTATCTCACTAATTTAGGGTTTCCTTTGGGTTTTAGCATTTCTCTCTATCTCCTAGGATTTTAGGGCTTTTTTGGGAAAGTTAAGTTTTTGTCTACGTTTCTTAGAATGGTTTTTAATCGCTTTATGTTACTCAGTTTGTGGAATTTGTAGTGTGATTGATACGAGTTACTAGTTAAAACCTCTTGATTGTGAATCCGCCCACTGTTCTTATTTTAGCTGTTTTTGGATACCCTTTAAAGTCTTTATAGCTGAGTGAGTTGCTACGGATCTCTTAACATATAGCTTTCTTTTCAGGTAAAATGCAGACGAGTACTATCGGTCCTCGACGAAGTGTTGCTCCACAACGACAAGTTTCAAAAAATTCACGTTTGGTTACGGGAAGTTCTACAGCTGAAGGGCAGAGATCTCAGGATGTTGTTACGCTGAGTCAGAGTTTTGCTGCCAATACTTTGACTCAGGATACAAGAAACTTAGCCACTTCTGCTGCTGGAGACTCTATTGAGAATGCGTCCACTACGCCACCTTCGGTATCAGGAACTATTAATGATAATATGTTTGGTGAGAATTTCAAGCCTTCTAACAAGCAGATGGGTTTCGGAAAATCTGCTGTTGATAATGCTAGTTTAGATAGCAATCTGGGTGTAGGATCTCAAAAGTTCCAATCTCTCATTGGCAGTACCATCACATCTCAAGGTAATGCCCTCGGTCTTTCCTTTCTGTATCCCAAATTAGTTTTCTTTTGCTTTTGTGTACTGGGAAAATTGTTTAAAAGCTGAACCTTTAGAATATTAAATAATACTCTGCATTTTTGAACCACTGTCATATTCCCTCCTTGGCTCAAGTCAATTTACACAAATTTAGTTACGGTTGGTTTGTTGATCTAGTCATCTTACTTGGACTCACCTGTCCTGGCAGATATGGAATGGGATGCAACAAATCAGGCTGAAGCATCACATCTTGGTGCTCGTACTGGATCAAGACATCAAAATCTCAACACTGTTGATTCTGAGATCAGTTTGAAATCTGAATACAAGGTCTCATCTTCTTTGGCAAAGATCCAGGGTCAGCTGGGAGAATTTCGCAACTTCTTGAACCAACCTAAAACTCAATGTTCTGCCATAGGGTCATCATGTGCCACAACTACGCTAATTCATTCGTCTTCAGCTCCTATGTTAAATGCTACTACCCATGTCTCTCGTTCTTATGTTGAGGCTGATTCGAATGCAAAACCCCATGCTCTTCAAAGTCAAGGGAACTTGCCTTCGTGTTATCCTTCTTCCAAGGACAGCAACATACTTCATGCTGATAAGGATCCCCCTGCATCTGAGATGCCAGCCTCAACTAATAATGATCCAGAAGTAAGAATCAAAGATACAAATAAGTCCAAGCAGCAACAGTGCACTACAGAACTTGAAGCTCCAGTGGGATCTTCCAGTCATGGGAGCAATGGACAAGCGAATGCTCGTGTCCCCGATGAATTGCTTACCAGTGTTAGCTCACAGCCACAAAAACCAGATAAGCATGAAAAGGTTGCAAGTAGCAAAGGTCCATCAGCGCCTCGTAAAAGAAATTATGATCCAGACATGTTCTTTAAAGTCAATGGGAAGCTTTATCAGAGGCTTGGAAAGATAGGAAGTGGAGGAAGCAGTGAGGTCCACAAGGTTATTTCTTCAGATTGTACCATATATGCGCTAAAAAAAATCAAGCTCAAGGGTCGTGATTATGCTACAGCATATGGATTTTGCCAAGAAATTGGATATTTAAAGAAGCTGAAAGGGAAAACCAACATTATTCAGCTAATAGACTACGAGGTACTTCCTTTTAGTTCATATTCTGATCCATGTGGCAGTTATATTCTCATGTAGTTTCGAAAAGCATTGTTGACAATTTATATCTCAACTACTACACAAATTCTCTGATGCAATTAGGTCACAGATAAGACTTTACTCCATGAGGTTTTGAATGGCACAATGAGTAACAAAGATGGAAGAGTTAAGGACGATGGATTTATATATATGGTACTAGAATATGGAGAAATCGATCTGGCTCACATGTTGTCCCAAAAATGGAGGGAAATAGAAGGATCTGACCGGACAATTGATGAAAATTGGCTTCGGTTTTACTGGCAGGTTCTTACACTACCCTCAAGTTATATTTGTGATGATAACTTTTTATTTCCTTTTGCATGGGAGCTCTATCAGTTTGTTCCTTTTTCAAAAAATATAGGAAAATCTATATAATTTCATACCAGAGTCTTTTGTTCAAAGAGGCACTGATTCTCATATGAATTGAAAAACAATTGCAGCAAATACTTCAAGCTGTGAACACCATACATGAGGAACGCATTGTACACTCTGATTTGAAACCCGCAAATTTCCTTCTTGTCAGAGGCTCTCTAAAGCTTATCGATTTTGGTATTGCTAAGGCCATCAATAGTGACACTACGAATATTCAACGAGATTCACAGGTAATATTCTCCCATGTTCCTGTTTTTGTCATCGTCCTCATGAATACAAAGATTTGTTTTTGTATTTAGTTTACAGGTTCAGATATCAATGGGAGTATTTATCTATTGTAACAGGTGGGGACTTTGAGTTACATGTCACCAGAAGCATTCATGTGCAATGAAAGCGATGAGAATGGAAACACTATAAAATGTGGAAGACCATCAGATATTTGGTCGCTTGGTTGCATACTGTACCAAATGGTATATGGAAGAACACCTTTTGCAGATTATAAGACCTTCTGGGCAAAGTTCAAAGTCATAACCGATCCAAACCACGAGATTACTTACAATCAACTCTCAAACCCGTGGCTTATTGACCTAATGAAGAAATGTCTAGCTTGGGACCGTAACCAAAGATGGAGAATCCCTGAGCTTCTCCAACATCCTTTCCTTGCCCCGCCCATCCCACACGAGCCTCAAGTCAGAACCTTAAAATTGCTCAATCTCATAGCTGAATCCTGCAGTAGTGATGACGATAAAGCCAATTCCATGATCTCTCAGCTTGAGCAACTGCTTATATGTCCTGCTCCTCTTCCAAGAAACGATCAGTTAGATTCAACAGATCAAAATAAGCAGCTTCTCTCTCGTGTTTCAGAACTTTGTATTCAACTCCAGGATCGGTTATGAGGTCTGGAAGGATAGGAAGAAAAAGTAAGCAGTACTGATATGATTCTACGGCTTTTGAATCTTGTAAATTGGTGTGTTAATTGTTAGATTTGGAAAGAAGACGTTGGCTTATAATGTTCTGTTTGATTTCTTCTCTTGTATTGGAATGTATCATTTTGGGTGCTCTTCTTTTTCTTCCATGTTTTAGTCCATTAAACCTTAAATAGTCCTTCTAAATTATGTAACTACGTACACAAATCAATAAATCAATTACACAAAACACAGCATCGTTTCCTTGATTCTTCAGAAAACGACGTTGTATTTCTTAAAACGACAGCGTGACGTTGTTTGATGCCATCTCCATAAGCCTTATTTCACAAATCAATTCAATCCCCCATTATTCTTCTATATTTAAACGACAGCGTGTTGTTATTGTATTTTTTTTTCAACATTCTCTACTGTATCACATAATTTTTATACCAAAGTAATTTATTAACTCTTAGAAAGAAAATTCTCACCATGAGCAAATTCTGGTTTCCATTTATTTAAATAGTTTTAAAAAAGCACCTCAAGCAACCTTGCGTTCCACGCAACCCTCGCACTTTACAAATTGATTTCTCCTTAATTCTCTCTAACTTGAAACCTTTATTTGCACCCACTCCTTTCAACCACCGGTTTAAATTCCTTAAACCAAAATTGTTCCGATCATTCCCAAAACAATGTCTTCTCCACTCGCCGCAAAATCCAACCTAAACGCAGCTCGATCCGCTTCCTTAAACATCCCTCATTCGACACGAACCAAACACGACCATGATCTCAGGTATAGCCTCTCTGCTGGTCCTCGTACTCGCGAAGATCGACCACCTTCGGGGAATGGAGTCGCCGGGATCCTCTACAAATGGGTAAACTACGGCAAAGGGTGGAAACGGCGGTGGTTCGTTCTCCATGACGGAGTTTTGTCGTATTATAGAATCCACGGTCCTGATAAAATATCTCTCTCCGTCGAGATGGATCGGAGATCGAAATTAATCGGCGGCGAATCTCTACGGTTCATTTGCCGACACAGCAAGCGCGGTGATGTTCATAGCCCCGGGAAACCTCTCGGCCAAATCCACCTCAAGGTTTCGATTTATTTCGAAATGCCCTAGTAATTTACATAAGTTTTAAAATTTACCACAAACATTTCAAAAATATTCAATACACCCCTGGCGGATTCACCTCAACTTTTCTACTTATTTAGGAATATCCCCTGTATTTTTGAATGTTTTTAAACGTGCCCCCTAAACATACAAACCCAATTTACATATGTAATGTTCAGACACGTTTTTTCTTTAATCAGGTCTCTTCGATTGGACAAAGCATATCAGACGGCAAGAGATTCAATTTATACACCGGCACGAAGAGTCTACATTTACGAGCAGCAACAAGTGAGGATCGTACCGCATGGATCGAAGCTTTGAAAGCTGTTAAAGAAACGTTTCCAAGAATGTCAAACGAAGAACTAATGGCATCGACGACTAATGTCTCACTCTCTACCGATAAGCTAAGACAAAGATTGATGGAAGAAGAGGTTAACGAGACAATCATCAAAGATTGCGAAGATATAATGAAGAACAATTTCGTTGCATTGCATAATGAAGTCATGTCGCTCAAACAGTACCAATATCATCTCGTAGATTCTCTCAAAAACGTTAACAACTCACCTAAGACTCACTAGACTTTTATTTTTTTGCATGATGATGAAATATTTCACGGGTTCAGATGGCTTTTTTTGTTCGATTACTTTTGTTAGAGTTGATATGAGTACTTGAATCCCATATGTGATTAATGGCCCATGACTAAAAGCCTATGTATAAATTTACTTTATGGGTATAGGCCCAACTAGTTGATATTATAATATCAAGGACATTACTTTGTACGTTTGAGAAACTTGTATTGGAAGGAAACAGTTCAAAAAATCTAAGACAAATCATTACCTTACGACTACGAGTTTAGATATTATATCGCAATGTTTATCTTTGCTTTAAAAATATATTGATGAAGTCAATGTACATGCCAGTTCAAAGTAATCTTACTATGAATTTTAAAACGTTTTCAATAGATATACATGCAATGCAACAATAATAATATAACGTAGTTGTTAGCTGTAGGCACCGTCAACAAATTAATCTAATGCATGGAAACGCTACGTATAATGGACATGAAGTCACGACTACTATGAATAACAATTTTAAAATATGTCGAAAATCCTTGAATCATCTAGTCTACGTACTTTCAGCAGTTAACAGACTTTGAATTAATAAAAAAAAAAGAACAAAAGATAAAACTTTATAACCAACGATAATTAATAAATGAAGCTAAATCGAAATCAATTTCTGCCAACGATGAAGACGTATGACTGTTCAATCTGATAATAAAGCATTTCCTTTTCAGGTTTTTTATATTCTTTCTTTTAAATTTTTGTTTTTGTTTTTTCAAGAAAACTATTTTTGTATATCGAAAAATTAATTAATGAAGCAGAAAAGAACGAAAGAAAAGACTAAAAAAACTAAAGAGCATGGGAGTTCCCTTTCAAGCTTACACGATCGACAAAGAGACGTATTCGTAAATTAAAAAAAGCCATCAATACGTAAGTCCAATAAAAATTGTATAATCATATCTTAAAATAAAATACGTATTGGAACTTCAACATGATCTCTCAAATTTATATATAAAATACATAGAATATTAGAATTCAAAGACATAGAACAAAAGTAATACTACTAGAATACAAAAGATTTACTTTTTATTAAATAATTTAGATTATCATACTCATTGCAGGCACTAAACAGGTAATTAACCACAAGATTTGTTGTGGTGCTGACATCTAATCAAAATCAAAACATCACACACGTTGTGGAGCTAATTTCACCTACAAACCCATCAAAATAAGTGGTCGGAAACGATTGAAGTAAATCGAGGAGATTATTATTCAAACATTTTTAATTTGGGGTCAACTTTATAATTAATGAAATGGTAAAGAAGAAGGATGATGAGTTTTTTGGTAAAACCTGGAGTGATAAGACGTTTTGGTGTAAGGCTTATTGAGGAATGAATGGGCTTCTGATTCTCTCAACAGAAGAACGAACAATGGGAAATATATCAAAATACATTGTTACATCAATATCTGAGTTTTCTTCTATGAACCCATGCTTTAGTTAGGCTACTTGCATACGTCACCGACCCTCCCCCCACAGACACATAAATATTTATATTTAAGCATAAAGGAACAACAAAGTAAAGATAATTGATTATTTCTCTATTCAGATTGTGGTGTGACCAAAAGATAATAGTTCCTTCAGGGTTTTCATTGGACAATAACCAGGTTTTGAAATGTCAAAAGTACACTACAGTCGCAACACTTGGTTACTCCATAACTCTTTCCAGTACTTTTAACCATATACTTGAACACTTCTTTTTTTCTTATCCCGAGACACTATGCTTATTTTAGTAGTTCTTTTCTTAATAATAGATGCACACATAATTATATACATCGACTCTTTTTTTTTTGATAAAACATCGACTCTTTAACATGAAGTAAAATTGTTTCTGGATGTTAAGTTGTATACAAATACCGTTAAACTTGGTTGAACTTGATAATGTGTGATGACTAGCTAGCTTGTCTTCGTTAAAATTATGCTGGTAAATAATATATATAGTAGCAGATGAATGGTAAAAAGGTGAGATTCAGCTCTTATCAAAATCATGATTCATTTGAAAAAAGATTTGTAGTTTTGTGTGATTTGGAATTGGGAAGATAGGACTTATGAGTCTTCTCCTTCTTCTTCTGCTTTGATGCGTACGTAATAGGTCGGCGGACGGCTACCTGACTTATCCGGTCATCCATCTTCTTTGTCCTTTCTCTTCTAAATTGCTTTCACATATAATCTTATCATTAATCTTTTGGTTTAACAAGACATTATTTTATCATTAACAGATTGTCATGTCAAATTTATTATATATAATGCGAATTTTAATAAATTCAGTCATGTTTTTTTAATCTTCATCAGGATTTTACATTGTCTTTTTTTTTTCTTTAACAACAAAACAAGTAATGTGATTTTCTTTCTTCCGTCGGACAAATAAAAAAAAATGTTTTTGTGAAAATTCTCTCCCACAAGATCTTGATTTTTACGAGTTTTTAAAATCATGTTATTGACAGTCTCACGTGTGCAAAGCCATGTTGCACGTGACTAAACAACTCTGTATAGAAGCAGAAGAAGAACGTAATTATCTTTTTCGTAGGATCTTCTTCTTTATGCCAGCCGCCCCGAGACAGGTGGTTCGCTATTAGATATTTGATGACGTGGTTTCAATCTTGACCGCAAAAGAGTTAAACACGTGGCACCGTCTATGTCGTTGGATTCTTCGTAGACGACGATATTAGTTGGGCCGTGACAGTCTCCTCCAATCCAATGTTTAAAATCCAAAGGCCGATCCCCACCCCCACACATACGTTGCCAGCTCAACTTGATTATTCCAACTGTTGTTGTTTCGTTAATATCATAAAAGGAGCTGTTTTGGAGATTATGACGCGTAATTATATTCTAATTTCAATTAATTTAGTGTCTTTTTTTTTTTTTTTTTTTTTTGTCTCTTGTCGACTTGTCATATCTGTCTCTCATTTTCTTTTTCCCAAATCATGGCGAATCATAATCTAATGCGAAATTATTATTATTTTTAGATGAAAATACTCACAACGTCGCTCGGTCATGCGAACAACAATTGATAAAATATGCAAAGGAGAGAATAAAAAGGTGCTTCTTGCATTATTATTAAGATGTGTATTATTATATTATATCGAATATTAAAACACAATCATGTAATTCTAATAACCCAATAACAAACAAGCTATTATAAAAATTAAACAAAAATAGGTCTACCTGACAACGTGATATCCCAATCTTGTTTTGATTTATCTGGGTGTGAGACCGATGTATATTATTCATAAAAAGGGTCTTCAATTAACGATCTTTTGTTTCTCCTATGCATTTTTTTCTAACGTAAAAAGTTCACCGTAAACCACACACACACAAAATGATACCAGTAATCCTAGTTTTATGGGTTTCAAAACAGTACTGTTGCAATAATCATTACCTCGTGCTTTTCAATTAGTGACAGCTTCTTATATGATTACTAGTGATGGACCCGCACGTACGTGCGGAGTTATTTTTACAAAATTACGATTGTTTAAGTAGATGTTATTTCGGTAAAATTTTGTTATATGAGTTTATTTGATAAACTATATATAGACATACAGTTGTAAAATATAGATATTGTATTACATGATAAAACTTTAAAATTACAATTTTAACATTTTTTAAATGAAAATGATAAGTGATATTACGTGTTTATTTTTTTAACTATTTCTAACTGTTTGCTTAGAGATGTTCAATCGGATTTGGGTTTGGCTTTAGTTTGAATTGTTTTATGTGTAGTTTAGAATGGAAACCCGTCCTGTTCCTTTCCGTCTCGTCCTGACCCGTCCCGTCCCTTCCCGTCTTCTATCTGTCATAAAATTTCTGTTCCATAATCGTTTCTTTTTAAAACATAATCATTTGCCAATGTTTATTATAAGAAACTTGGCAAAAGATTTAGACGGGATACTCATATTCCTCGTTTAAATATTTATTTTTATCAAACTAATAAAAATCTAATTATCAATCTAAGTCACATGCTCCCACCATTTTCATTCACAATGCACTGTCTGTAATCCTAGCATACACAATCCTTGTTCGATTTTTAATTTTATTGATCTTTCAGTTTCATCTTTATTTCTCGTTACTTTCTTCAATTCAAATATTCACGTTTTAGCCTTTTTGTTTTCTAAAGATTTAGGTATTTCTATTTTTTAATACATGGATTTATCGTAGTTTTGTTATCCGAAGTATACATTATCTTCTTGTACCTGACATTTCATGTCTAAATATTTGAAATAAATAGGAAAGTGGAAATTAAATTTAGCAATTTAAATTACATGTCCTCGTATCGTACTCGTAGTTTTATATTTGAAAGTTGAAAGTGAATTTAACTTTATGACCGTGTCTCATAACAATTATATCTAATCATATTTTTTTTTATGTGAAATAATTCAGATAATGTTTGTTTCGAATTATATGTTCCCGTCTCGTATCCATTCCTATAAGTTTATATATTTTTTAATAAATAACACCATTTACATGTAACTAAATATAATTTTAATATATGTAAAATTTCATATAATCGTCCAAAAGTAGAGATTTATACGTCCCAAAGTTGAATTTTGTTCAATATTTTGAGATTTTAAGAATTAAATACAACTAACAATTTTTTTTATTTCAACTGGTTATCCAAAACTTATATATCATATTTGTCAAGGATAGTTTAAAATTTTACGTATATGTGAGATAATGCTTGTAGATGTTTATTTATTATATCATTTATATCATACCAATTTGACATTTTATTTGTTTTCAATTAGATTAAATCATTAAAAATATAATCCATTTATTATTTAAAAATTGGTAATAAGTCGTTAAAATCATTTAAATGTGATATATCCACTTGTTATTTAGTTTTAATCTTAATAGAAATTTTATATGTTTATAATCTCAAAATGTAGTTTATGATTTGATAAAACAATTATTTAATATTTGATAATAGTAATGATATGCAAATTGTTAATGGATGAAAGTTTATTTTGTTAAGATTGTGTGAAATTAATAAGAAAAAAGAAGTTTAGAATAATCATTAACTAACGGTTTGACCAAATAAAAATCATTAACTAATTGAATTAATGATAAATTTTGTAGATATCATTTGTGTTATAATTGCTAGATTGATATTTGAATATGAATATTTTTTATGTGAAAATAAGAAATTTATGTGATCTAGAATGTTTATTCGCATGATTTTAGCAAACAAATATTTAATTATTGATTTAGTTAAATTTTATTTATATTTAAAAATTATATAATTTTTTAAAATTTTATGATATGATCAGTTATGTATATATATTATGTAGAATTTGATTAGTTGATTATTTCATATGCTAACATATTTTTTTATCTTTTTTTATTTTTCTAAAAAAATTTATCTTTGTTATTTTAGATATGA